TATAAATTAATATATTTATAATAATTAATTTAATTTAATGCAAGTATTTAAAATTATTCCACAACAAAAAATTAAACATTATTGTTAATTTTTTAATTAGACGGATTCGAATAGCAAAAAAAGACAAGAACAAAAATTAAAGTCATTTACTGAAATTTGTGTGACTTTACAACGTTGTTTCGAGTATTGCCATGTACTCAGTCGCAATACTTTTTGTTCTTGTCTTTTCTTTGCTATTCAAATCCATCAAAACTTTATTTATTTTGAAGTGAGTTATTTTTTCAAATCAATCATCTCAAAAACTAATATCCGAAATCCAAACAGCATTGAACTCGTTGATATCTGAAAGAAACAAAATGAAAATATATTCATGTTTGATCATTTCGTGCAGATGTGATAAAACTTATAAAAAAAAAAAACAAATTTTGAAATTGATTTAGTTAATTTGTCACATTTTTCACTTTAGTCGAACAAATAATAACAATTCAGTTGAATTTGTTACACATATTTTTTGTATCTAAGATGCTAAATACGACTTTGTATCTGCTGTCTCATCGGAGCTCACGTGCCAGTGATCATGTGATGATATGTGGGTTACAAATTCTAAGTTTAATTCAGACTCAACAAGAAATTTATAACTGAGCAACAGAATACAATACATCGTGATAAAATAAATTATATCACATGCAAATATATAATTTATCAATAAAATGTTTACAGCATCTACAATTTGTACTTACCCTACATTTACAAAAAAAAAAAAAAACTGAAAAAAATTTATTTAAATATATTTATTTATAGATTTTAAAAATTATATTATATTAATCAGAGCTAAAAGCGAAACAACTAAATAAATATAAAAATAATTTCTATGAGAAATATCTCATTATTCAAAATATTGCCCATTAATAACTACAATTTTTTTCCGCCTTTCAACCAAAATACGTATATCGTCTGAAAAGAATTTTGAACTCGTTACATGACATTAGGTGTTCTAGCTATCCGTATAATCCATTATAACTTTGTTTTATCCATGTTTATTGTTTCATGGAAACTTCTTATAGAGGTTTTTCGAGCAGTAGTGAACTAAAAGAGCAAAAACACATTTTTACATTATTTAAATTAATTGAATATTTAGCTGACCATACAGCTGTTTCGAGTATTGCCAAAAACCCATCATCAGTGGTTTTTTGAAATAATTCTTGTACTTAATTATTTGTAAATAATTTTTTTTTTCGACTGCAAGTACCAGGAATCGAACTCGTGCCCTGCCAAATTTGAAGCTCAGAGTCAGTACTCCTTGACCAACTGACTCAAAGCCGTGCTTGACTTTTATGTTCGCACATTTTTCTGGGGTTTTGTTAATTTGCTGTGAAAGTCTTATTATAGAACTAAATCATAAACCAGCTGTAGAATAATTGAATAAATTAATTAATTATATTTTTATTTTTAATTATTAAATTTCAAAACTATTCTGTTTATAGAGATATTATTTCTTGTGTGATTTATTTATTCTTTCTTATGTATAGAACCTAATCTAGGAACATGATACTAAGAAACTCATGCTAATGTTACTCCAAGAGTCGCACGGGCGACTTCTTCTTATAAAATAAAATCTTGAAACTTACAAAAATCTATAAATTAATCCAATTAATATTAATAAAAGGATCTATTGACTTTTTTAAAAGTTATTCATTTGTGTAAATACTCCTTAATTTTATTTAATGAAATAGTAATAAAGTATACATAAATGAAGTATTTATGTAAATAGGTTTAACTGAAAACTTACTTACTTCTAGTATTTTAGAAGTTCTACTCCTTTAGAACTTCTAATACTTTAAAACTTCTAGTTCTTTAGAACTTCTAGTACTTTAGAACTTCTAGTACTTTAAAACTTCTAGTTCTTTAGAACTTCTAGTACTTTAGAACTTCTAGTACTTCAGAATTTCTCGTATTGCAAAAAATGTGGTACTAAGTATTATTTTTGTAAGGACGTTTAAACGTTAACATAACCTTATATCAACTCAAATAGTTCATCTTTAATTAAAGGACTTTTCAAGCCTCGGTTTTTAACGAATCAAAGTGTTTTAAAGATAATCATATTGAGACAAAGTGTGGGGTGACACAGACTCGTTTGAGTTGAATTTTTTAGAAACCAATTCATAATTCACAAAAAAATATTCAATGGAAGAACTTTTTGTTTAAAGAGAGTTAATATTTCTGTTACCCTGTTTTTGTGATTGTTTGATTTTTGTCTGAGTCAAGAAGACGATACCATGCATACTGCTTTTAACCAGTCTGCAATTAAGTATTCCTAAACGAACAACAAGAGCTTGCATAAGAAAGGATCTATACCCATATATACATTTATTAGTCCCTCATCTAATAAGTTTTGTACGTAGTAATGTTTTTGCTGTAATTTTAACTGAATTTGGTGCAATATACTAAGCACCTTGAAGCTGATTAGGGTATATTAGAATAAAAATAGTCTTTTAATATTGCAGTATTTTTCTGCACTGAGTCTAAGTCTCCACATTTGAGTTTATTAGTATTTCAACTGCTAAGTAAAATTTTTAACGGTGTTTTTTGTATTAAGCTGACTTGAACTTAATTCAAAATACGGAATGATCTCTTAAGATAATACTATTCTTGTCTACTGGATGCCAAAGTCCCCACATTCGTATATATTAATCTCTTAAGTTTTACTGAACTATTAATTTATACAAAAATTATACAAAAATCTGAATCGATTTGTTTTTTATCATTATTTGTTTCTAAGATATTCAATCATGTCAACTAAGTTACTCTACAAATAATTAAAAAAATTTTTTTATCTTTCTCTCAGAAAGCCTCTGGATTGGCAGTTATGACAAATTTCGTTTGTAACGTTTTTTTTGAATATTTTCAAGTTTTTTTGTTAAAATATTTTTATTTTTCAAATCTTCTAAAGGTAGGTCAAAAACTAAGAAAGCAGTTTGCTTTGAAATTGATAGACCTATATGAAAAAAATTGCTTGATCTTATCGATGTCTTCTCAACTATATTACAAACATCTGCACAAATATACCACTTCCTCTTCACTATATTTGTGAGAGATACAATATAAGCAATAATTATTAGTGCCAGTGGAACAGGTGACAATAAAAAGTGTAAATTTGATTATTTATTTTTGTGAATATCTCTCATCTCAAACACATTTAGTTTTTTATTTAACAAATTTGATGATGGTTAGTATGAGTATAACAAATCACATGTACACGATATAATTAAATATTAATTTTCACTTTTTTTTCCTACACAAGTACATCAAAAAAAAAAAAGAAACAAGTTCTAATTTTAAATGCATTCGGCTTGGAAGAGAGTATTTACCTTAAATGGGACTGAAGTAAATCACTTTTTATGTTCCTTAAAAATCAATCACAATATTAAATTCAATTTAAATCAAATTATTTAAAATAACATATAATAAATTAGATAATAAATGACTGATGACTTGACAAAACTTTCATTTTTGTGTCGTCTTCATGTCTGATATCTCTTATAAAAAATCAATTATTTCTAATGCAAATATACTTAATTCAACATACTTTCAATTTTCAACTCTATCTCTCTCTTTCTCTCTCGCTCTTATCCTCATATACCAGTGGAAAATAGAGCCTCCATCATCCATTCATATGAAAATCTCTTACTTGATTCTCGAAAGATATCATTGCACGAATCTCTTCCTTCTCTTAACTCTTCCTCAATTGTCTTCTTCCAAGTTTTACCTGGCGCTCTAGTGCGATGGCTGCCTTGAGAATTCTACCTCAGAGATTGGCGTGCAATGCTTCCATTGGATATGCGGAGATTTTGTGCTATCCAACGCCATTTGCGTCCACATGTCTCAACAGTAGAAGGTGATTGATTCATGACGTCCGATAGGTTGATACTTGTAATAGGATTGGACCACCATATTTTGACGTAGGCATTTGTTCACAAAAGTTAGCAGTATTGCATTAATATCTCTTGTTCTTTTCCTTATCTTACAAGCATAGAATATAACAGACTTTACGTTGAAGTGCGAAGTTTTGTGCGAGTGGAAAATTGGTTAGAACGCCACACAACACCCAACATACCAAATGCTGTCTTGGCTTTGGTCAAGCGAGAGTCAATGTCTTCGTTAACACCGCTATTAGTGGCAACTATGCTACCTAGATAATTGAATTTATCCACGCATTCCACGGGTTCCGTTTTTTATTTTAACAACTTTCGTAGAGGGTGAGCTATATCCTCCAGCCGGCGACTGCTGCATTTACTCAAAGTGCTTCAATATTTTCTTGTAAGTCTCTGATGCTATGACTGAGCAAACAAACATTCCACATCTTCCAGGTGCCTAAATGGATTCCACTGGATACCTTTGTTACATTTTAAGGACGTTCGCATCACTTCGTGCACCACGAGGATAAATAGAAGTGGTGATAATATACACCCTTGCTTCACTCCCGTGGCCACTTCAAATGTGTTTGATAGCAACCCGTTGTGCAAGACTCGAAAATAATTTATCCGGCTACTTGCCGCAAATTATCGCTTAGAACTATCACTCCTTACTTGAAAATTGATTATATTTAAATACAGTAAAAGAGTGTTTTTTTCAGTCAGCCAATGTTCTTTAAGTCTAGGAACCTTACTGACAACTAATAAGCATCAGTGCATTTGCTTTTACTTTTGTTAAATGAAGAGTTATCTTTCCAGTTCTTTTTTATTTGGTTCTACATAGATAGAGCTAAGTGAAAACAAAAATTTTCTCCAACAATATCAATATAAACGTGTTTTAGTGCAATATGTACCAAAACTTTCATTTTGTACATACTTTTGACTAGGACTAGGACTAAATTTGAGACAATTGAAATTACTTATCTCTTTTTTAATCTATATATCAAGTCGAATTTTTTCCCTATTTTTATATATTTTTAAATAATAATTATACTTCAACAAAAATTTTATCATTATTCTTAATTTCAGAGCGTCTTACAACAAACTACTAATTCACAAATCACTAATCCGGGACTTATGCGAACATCGACACTACCGTTGTCCAATAACTCATTCTATGGTTCAAAGCAATTAGATCTCGAGGCGGCAAATAGTAAAGGGTTTATTGATGGAGCCATTGTTGACAATTATCACGCAACTTGCACCGGAGCAACTACTGTGACCTGTGCACTGTCATCTGAAACGAATCAATCCGAAAACTTAAAGGGCCCTATCGGTGCAGTTAAGGAAGATAACGAAAATATAACTGCTGCCGGTGAGGATACAAAGTTAAAACGTTTACACTATTCTCAGACACCAGTGCTCAAGAAACAGGGTGTGTCCGGTGAAAGTTGTGAAATCTCAATGCAACAATCTATCAATATTCCAATTACAAAATATGAAAAGGACTTCAGGTATTTTATCCATTTTCTTTAACATTAATTATAACTTTTTTTTACTCAATATTTTCTAAACAATATTTTTTTCTTGTGAAATGCATGCGATAATTGGACTAAGAAATTTTTAATATTAACTACCTGATTGGAACAATTAAATTAATATCTATACGTTTTTATATAAAACAAGTAACATTATTAATTTTTATACTACAGGTCTAAGCAACTTATTAAGGAAGCAATCATGGACAATGATTTTCTGAAAAACATTGATGCTTCACAGGTGCGAGAACTCGTTGACTCAATGCAACCGCGAGAAGCGAAAAAAGGCGAATATATTATTCGTGAGGGAGCGGTCGGGGCACATTTATATGTGTCTGCTGAAGGCGAATTTGAAGTTATTAAAAATGGCAAGGTACTTGGTGTTATGGGACCTGGTAAAGCATTTGGTGAATTGGCTATATTATACAATTGTACACGCACCGCATCTATACGTGTTCTTACTGATGCGAGAGTCTGGGTTTTGGATCGGCGGGTCTTTCAGCATATAATGATGCGTACTGGTATACAACGCATTGAGAATAGCGTCAATTTTCTGAAATCAGTACCATTACTAAAGAATCTAAGTGAGGAAGTATTAGCAAAAATTGCAGATGTACTTGAAGTGGTCAGTAATAATGCAGTGTTTTACCTCTCTTATACCATTAATTTCATTTTTTATTGAATTCCCTTTAATAGGAATTTTATCCCGCTGGCACATATATAATACGACAAGGTGCCCGAGGTGACACTTTCTTCTTGATTTCACAAGGCTCAGTAAAGGTTACTCAAAAAATTTCACCAACAACAGATGAGAAAGAAATTCGAACACTTGAGAGGGGAGATTATTTTGGGGAACAAGCCCTCATTAACGAGGACAAGCGTACAGCAAATATAATTGCCATGCCTCCTGGCGTAGAGTGTTTGACATTAGATCGTGACTCGTTCACTCACTTAATTGGTGATCTAAGCGAACTTAAAGAAAAAAATTATGGCGATGAAAATCGAGCATTGTCCTTAAAATATGCGGAAGCAACCAAAGTAGTATTTGGTGCAAATGTAAAACAAGGTAAATATCTATATTACTTGCTAAAATAAAAAATTGATTGTCTTATTAATTTTCTTTGAACTCTTAATAGCCTTTCCTGATTTGAAGCTTTCTGACTTAGAAGTTGTTGCTACTCTCGGCATAGGTGGTTTTGGACGCGTTGAACTAGTGCGGACATATCATAAAAACCGAATGGATACATTTGCGCTTAAATGTTTAAAAAAAAGACATATTGTTGATACCAAACAAGAGGAGCACGTTTTCAGTGAGAGAACAATTATGCTTACTTGTGAATCACCTTTCATATGTCGTCTCTATCGTACATTCCGTGATGAAAGATATGTTTATATGTTATTAGAGGCTTGTATGGGTGGCGAAATTTGGACAATGCTGCGAGATAGAGGTCCATTCGAAGATAATGCAGCGCAATTTATTATTGGTTGCGTCTTACAAGCCTTCGAATATTTGCACTCACGTGGCATTATTTATCGAGACTTAAAGCCAGAAAATTTAATGCTTGATGAAAGTGGATACATTAAGTTGGTTAGTTTAATAAACATATAATAAAATATTTTCATATTATTATTAAGTAATGTATATGAAAGCAAAAGTTAATGCCAGCCATAGTGAGACCATTAACAACATTAAAATCTTTCCAACATTCAGTTTTAATATGCATTATATATATATTTGCTTATATGTATTCTATACAAATTAATGAGAACCGAATTCGATTTCTTAAGAGTAACGTAAAAGTAACATCTTCACTTATTTTTACAGCACGGATTTGAAGTATCGAATCCTGATAACGGAAACCGATGTTTGGTTAGGTCGCACAACGATAATAAAATATGGTGACATGCTGTCGGTCACTGTTTGATTAGGTCAGGACCTATAATATAATATATTCCAATTTTGAAACAATATGTGTTATTTCTTTATTGTTTAATTAGTTACAATATTTATACAATACGATATTGTATTAAGACACAACATTTGTTACTTTAAATACTTATTATTAATATTTGAATAATACAATATGTGTTATTAAAGATTGTTTGTTTAGGGTCAAACGATCTTCAATGTGATTTGTTTGCAGCATATTTCCGTTATGATAACGAGTCCTGATAATTTACATGTATCTCTTTTAACCATGCAATGTTGCTAGTCCATGCTTTCAGTTTTCATATAAAAGGCAGAATTTTAGACAGAATTGCCGGTCACGTCGATGTCCGCTTAAGAGAACATTTTTGTTAGTCTTAATAATGTATGATTAATCAATTTATATTACACATGGATTGTTCAAAGCAGACAACTGGTATTCCATACCAGTTAAGCAAGACTACATCATAACAGATATAGGTTTGGTGCGCAAGATCGCCTCTTCAACCTTAACTGAGCAAGAATTATGCATTATATTTATTCATATTTTTAATCATGTAATTCAAAGAATCTTGTAAATCGAAATATTGAACTTTTTAATATTATTAAATATTATTATTAGCATAAAATTATTATTATTTAACGCATTCTGTGATTCCATTTTAAGGTGGACTTTGGATTTGCTAAGTACATTGGAAACAGCAGCAAGACCTGGACATTTTGTGGCACTCCAGAATATGTAGCACCAGAAATTATCTTAAATAAAGGTCATGATCGCGCTGTAGATTATTGGGCACTAGGTATCTTAATACACGAACTTCTTAATGGAACGTGAGTAAATTAAAAAAATTATTATACATTATACATAATGTATATTGTTAATTTATTTTTTACACACTATTATAAACAAAGGGTATATTAAATTTTAAATTATTTATCAACACGTCAAGGAATAAATATTAAAATTACACAATATTTTGAACCCACATTGAGATCTCATTCATATGATAATATATATGTAATAATATTAATAAGAGCTGCCATAAATTCTCATTAGCATATCTTTTCATAGAGAGGATGTTTTTTTAGCAACATGAGAACTTAAAATGATAATACAAGACAGAAATATATTTGGAATGAAATTTTTTTTTATTATAATGTGATAGATAATTTCATGGCATTATTTTTTGAATATGATTTCCGATATATGTTATGAGCTACATGGTCCGTTCGATCAGTCCAATTGTTGACTATGAACATCCAATTCTTGACTAAAAAAAACTTCAAGAACTAAATCTAAAGTTCAATCAAATCAATTAAGTGGCTATTTGGACGACATTCTGTTATGTCAATCGAAAACAAGCTAATAGTGTAGAAGTAGGTGTTATGTCCACTTTGGGCCTACGAATCTTAACTCTGGCGTTGCACGTCTGAGTCAAATAGGCATTTGATACAACGATATCAAAACAATATCCTAAGATTAATTACCTATGCTCCATGGTGTGTCCGTAAAAGCAATCTTCATTGTGAATTACATGCTCCGATAGTTGTCGAAATAATCACGCTTCAGGCTGAAGGCACATAAAAAAAGACTTGAAGTTCACTGCAATACAGAAGCTTCATCACTTCTTTAAAGAGAGTGATGGTTTGTTAGAACCAAACCATCTAATTTAACTAATTAAATCATATATATAAACCATTATACTATCATATTGTAGATAAGGATTAATATCGACTATTTTAAGTTCCCGACGTAAAAGTATTACTAATTAGTTTTTGTTTTAACTAGGCGTTTGACCAGAAATGAGCTTCATCGCTAAACACAATTATTCGATAAAAGTTCTCTATGAACTTCGCAAACAGAACTTTAAAATCATGATCAGTGAGGTTAAAAATAAATAAAAAAAATATAATTTTAGTAAGAAAGCGTGCAACTTCGCAAGCAATCTTCGATAAATAACTTTTTCAAATATCTTCGATACACATCCTATGGATCTGACCTACAGCTGACCAAAAATTTTTTAATATCGAATTGCTAAAACACTGGTAATTCCTCTCAATAACTAATAGATCAAACAGTTAAGTCTGAAGAAGGATACATTATGTGCAGATTTATCCGGTTTAAAAATCATTATCACCTCAGTAGTTTTCCAATGAATTAGTATGTATCAAACCTGAAAGATGAACTGAATTTTTTTAGATTCTTCAATGCTAATGAGTAGCAGGTGTTGTGGTATTTCTGCAGTTTATGAAATCGAAACTAGAAGACTATTTTCACTCGAATTTTTCGTTTAATAATATGACATTCTAAAATAGGTCGAAGTTTTAGCAATTGACGGATAGATGAGCTCAATCTGTAATAAATAATAAATCGTTTGTTTAATTACACTCTCCATGTTTTTCAAATTGAAACATATCAGGGTTTTTTATCTTATTTTTTTTATAAAAAGATCAAAGTATAGAGAAGGTGTTATTGGGATACAATAAAAATGTCACATTCATTCTATTTACAAGCTTATTGTCACATCATATTTATACAATATATAAAAATAATTTTTTTCAATTCAATTGTGGTTTATATTTTTCAGTCCACCGTTTACCGCCAATGATCCAATGAAGACATATAATATTATCCTTAAAGGCATAGATATGATATCGTTTTCGAAGCATATGTCCCGTTCAGCTGTTATGCTCATTAAAAGACTATGCCGAGATGTTCCTGCTGAACGTTTGGGGTATCAAAAAGGCGGCATACAGGACATTAAAAAGCACAAGTACGACATATAATTTCTTACATCTTAAAATATTTACAATCTATATAATACTTAAATTTATGTCATTTCAATTACTCAGATGGTTCCTTGGTTTTGACTGGGACAGTTTAGGTAATCAGCGTTTAATACCACCATTTCGAAGAATTATTGCGCATCCAACAGATACAAGCTACTTCGATAAATTTGCCATTGATCCAAATGAACCGCCGGAAGAGAATTCAGGATGGGATGCTGATTTTTAAAATTTTAATTTATTATATTTAAAATATTTAGATATAGAATTTGTTTTATTGGTTAATTTTATCAATTAAATACAAATATTTGATTGTTTAAAAAAATGTGCTCAAATTTGTATTCACAGCTGGATTTAAACTAAAAGATAGAAGTATGTTTTTTTGATGTATATAAGTACGTCACAACTTAACCTATTAAAGCTTTGTAAAACAAAGTACTTTTTTAATGATTACACTTAGTTAAACAATATTATATGGTAGTTTAATATTGAAATCCATAATTATTTCAATTGTAATAATGAATGTGCCTTTTAAAGTATGAACTAAACTTTTTAAAATGATTATGTGTGGTATATATATATACTTTTAGGAAGAGTTTTTATCTAGGAACTTGCTCAATATTAAGTGCAATATAGTTTTGAGACATATTTTAACAATTATATTTTTGTTTATAATAAAATCAACTATTTACTAAATGTCAATATATTTTATATTATATTTTTATATTATTAAATGAACAAATAACTTAATATACTTGCAATGTCATCGCATTTACATATAAAATGTTCTAGTATGCGGTCTTAAAAATTATTATTAGAGTATCTAATGAAAAACTATTAACATTTGTTGTGTTATTTCCAAAATAAATATTTTAATCTTAATTTGAACTCTACTTACTTTTCTCACCTACTCACTCACTTATAAAAGCTTAATTACCATGATTAAAATTTTTTGCTACAAAAATCAGAACTTTCTTCGATTTTCCAGTTTTCTATAGTACAGATAAACCCAACAACAATATTTTGTTATAAATGGCTATAAAAGATTCTGTCAAACAAACAAATATAAGCCTAATTTTTTATAGTTCTCTAGAATAGGTTTAATAGGCGTACAGCTTATACATCCATATTTAATGTAACTCATTAAAACTCACTTTATTTTGTTAGAAAATTAACACTGTTCTATTTGAGTGCTGAAAATTTTGATAGTTTTCCATTCCATGAATAAAACTATTACGAAAAACCATTGTCCAGTAAATTGAGAAAAAAACATCTTTTAATTGGGTTAAACTTTTCGGATTTCTGAAAATATACTATGCCAATGTAGTTCTCTGTTTATTATTTTTATTTGCCTATTAACATAATAAATAAAATTACTTGTGTATTATTTAAAATCTCTTATTTTTTTGGAAATGTCACCTTTAGACTAAACGCACTCTACATCAATTTAATTTCAATAGATTTACATACCTTATGTACATACATTATTTTCTATTTAAATATTCGATTCCCTTTATCTCGAAACGTACTAGTCTCAGAACAACAACCGCAATTTCTACAAGCACCACTAAAGAAAACTTTTCCAAATACATTAAGAATTTTTGCAATACAAAAGACAATTAATGATACCGACGTCAATGACAGCCGCCTATTTAAACTGCCTATGCCTATAAGACATCACCAATAATAATAATTTGAAATTAACTATATTATTTGGTCGATTTCAAAGCACAGTGCCTATGTAAAACTAGATTGGCACAGAGTTTCCATCAATTTTATCCTAATTTCATTTTTTATATGCTTTGTCGTACAGTCACACGAATGACATGCTAAGAGACCTCAGAATAGATCAGGTCAAAAAATACATAAAGGACAGAGCTCTGAAGCTTTACGTGTAAACTGTCAAGCTGCCTTACACAGCACTATCTAATCTAAGAGCAGTCACTAGCCGTACGAGGCGGTATGCATATTTTAGATCAGTCATCGTATAATCAGCGAAGCTTGTGAAGAATATATAAATAAAACTCTCCGGATAAGAAAGAGTAAAACTGCCCACAGTTGCATTAATTCGGAAAAACCTCAACATAAGACTACTCTTTAAATAAATAATTCAATTCAGTGCAATAATTGTTACTTTTTCCTTCTACAAACTCTCGAAAAATTATTACAAATAATTTTAACAATAAAAATAATTAATAACTTTTAGGATTCAATGTTAAGGCATTATTTATAAAACAGAAATAATATTTTTGATGAAAGACATATATAGACATATAATTTTTGCAGTTGCAAAACTTTTCCTACAAGCCCCATCAGTATCCTTTCTGTGTCAAGGATGTATTAACTCTTCCACTATTACACGTAGACAAAATATCAACAATAATTATGCAGTTTTTATAAAAATCTTTATAAGAATCTAAACTTATTTTAAAACAACATTGAATAATATAATAGCACAAATTATATAAACCAAAAAAATAAAATTATTTCCATTTAATGATGAATGTACGTATTTGCATTGGATCGAAAATAACATTGAATTTTGAGTCGACGTCCTTCTTTTTAGCAGACAATGGCACATGTTTAGATGTGTAATATTCAACTTTAGAAGCATTACCGCCATCTGGTTGGAATTTGAAACGTTTCATGCTCTCCAACGCCATATTGCCGTCAAGTGTGGTTTCGCGTATTTCTTCACCACCCAAACTATCAAAAATTTTACGTATATTGAATGTGATACTAGTTGTTTCATTGCGACTCATAAAGCTCTCCAAACGTAATAGACGCTCAGTTGTTGAATATGGCTCCAATGTCAAAAGGTGTATGGTCAATGGTAAAGACATGAAAGTCGGTAATTTAGGCACGACTTTGTTTGTAGCTTTTGAAGCGTTACTGAAGAATTTCCAGAATGGTAAATGTATTTGCTGCTGCGCTAAGCGTTCGTTATATGCTGGTTTCTGATTTACTTGGCTTAATATTAAATAAACTTTACCACGTGCAATAAGTCCTTTGCCATATTGAGTTTCATTTAAAGCTTCTCCCACACCAAAGGCATCATCACGCAAAAGTCGACGATGCAACATCAATTCTAGTACACCATCCTTAACGCTTGTGCCGCCTTGAGCACGATCGTTCAACAATGCAATGCGTTTTTGTTCATTTTGTAAGGCTATCAGTGACGTTATTGGATAGTAATTTGAAGAAATGGTTTCAGTTAAATTAGGCTTGAAGTACTCTCGCCCATTTCTGGTACGTTGCATTGTTTCACGACCATTTGAATCAGTATAGAATATTCCTTTTGAATTAAGTGAGCTTGAGAAACGCGTTATCACCTCCTTGCCAATGTTATCTTGTATTGGAATTGGGCCAACTAACCATTCAAACTCAACACGATTGACTCCGTCATAAATGCGTATAACTTGCGAAATCCAATCGTTAAAACGCTGGTGTACTTCTTTCACATTTTGACCTTCGTATATGCTCAAACTCACACTTGTGGCAATCAAAACTTCCGTGCCATTGGGTCTGAATATATAAGCGCCAGAGGAACGATTTTTAAACTCAGCGTTATTGCCAGCAGCACCTTTGTAATAGTAAAAATCTTGACGTATGGCTTCTGAGACACCATTCATTTGTACATTGATCAGATGACCAGTTGAACCAAAGGTTAATTTAACTAACTGGAATAACAAAGTAAATATTATATCTAGTTATTTGATTCAATTATTTTTAAGCAAATCTTACAGAGTTTTGTATTATGGTATCAGCGCGGTTTTCTACATTAATGTATTCAGCTGTTTTGTCCATTAAACCATTAAGGTTCTTTGGATGATTAGCAAATGATCTTGGTTTCGGTTTCGTCTTTATATAGTAATTAGCAATTTTGTCCACGTAAGCTTCAAATACCAACTCCTGCTTATTTGTGTTGGAAGTGGGATTCAATGCAGTAACTTCTTTAGGGACCGGGACCAACTGAGACCGTATTAATTGACCTATTCAAGGAAAAACGAATCGTATTAAATCGTATTTTAGAAGTTTTGATTAGTTAAAATACCAGCAGCATTTGTGACTTCATAGTTATCGTTAATTACAGGGACAGGTACTCGTACATACTGCACAGAATCATGTGCCAGGGGATTGTATAGTGTTACCACTAAGTTATTGGCACTGGTATTGGTGAATTCACAGACGCTGACATTGAGTTGCAAGCAAATGCTAAATTCACCATTTGTTAAATTCGTCAGTTTTTGCAAGGCTAGTTGAGTGTTTTTCTGTGCAGTTAGAAGGCTCTCTGTCATCATACGATCATAATCATTGGACACATGTTGTTTTTCAGTACCAGTAATGGCATCGTGATGTTGCATTACACCCATGACTTGACGCAATTTATTTAAATTTGATGTGGTTGCAGCATCAGTGAAATTAGCTAATGTAGTCAATTGCTTAGTGACTTGTAGAAAATGATTGCCATCGCGTTCGAAACGTTTTTGTGTGGGACGTGATGAAAAATATCCTGTCCAATAAGTGTGCCAATCAGATGAATATGGGAAGAAATCTTGCGTTTTATTAGGCCAAGTCAGTTTTGATTCATGTACTGCATTCAGATAACAACTTGGCGTGGAGTAGAATACATTTATTTTTATACCTACTGCTTGACGCTCGTTGACATATCTTTCGTTTTTAAAACAATCAATTAGTAAACAAATAAAAACATTTCAAACAAAATAATTACTTAATAAGTTTGTCCATATTTTTAAAGTTCATAACTGCATTTTCATAATTAAAATCATCACCCATAGGCACTAAAAGATGAGTTGCACGATAGTATTTGGCAAGACTATTGATATATGCAATAAAAGCATCGACCTGTAATATAATTAAAATAATTATAATAAAATTGTTTTATTTAAGATATCTATTTATTTTCATATAAAGTAAATACACAATACAATATAATTCGACTGTCACTTCTATATGGATGTGTAGCGTTTAGCAAAACCTCAAACACTACTATTCGCCAGCTAGAAATCATAGACTTTTCAAGATACCAAGATACATTAGGACAAATGGCATCCTCAGCGGCCTCAAGATTGATCACATCAAAAAATACATAAAGGATAGAACGCTGAAATTATTTACGAAAACTGATAGGCTTACCAACACCGCGTTATCAAATCTCAGAATGGTTACAGGCTCCTCGGGGAGGTATGCAGATCTGAGTTCAATTATTGTTTAGTCTGATGAAGTGATAAACAATAATCCAGTCAAGGCGTAGAGAGGGGTTATAAAAAAACCTCGCAATTAATAAAGAGTAAAAGTGCTCAAGTGCACTGACTTAACTAGCCTCAACACATAAAATTTGTCAAAATTGTAAATGACTTTGCTGACAAATACCTTATATACTTAAAAATTGTATTTTAAAATTGTAATTATAAATAGATATAGTAGATAAACATACACTTTGGGAAATACAGAAAAACAAATTAATAATTGCAATATATACAATATGCTAACGTTGAAACGTAAATGTTCTCAATGTATACAGAAACAGAAAGGTTCTCAATGTATACAGAGCTAAATATAAGGATTCACGGATTTCAAAATATCGGAGGGACAAAATCAAAACAATGATGACCATTTTCTTCTATTCAAAAGTGCCCCTTCACAGTAAGTTAATCTTAAAGAGTAAAAATTTCAGACGGTGACCACAGCATATTATCTGAAAGATTTAAAACGAGAGTCGGCCAGAATTCAGTGGTTCGATTGGTATTGTTGCATTATAATGCACCATGGTACACGAATTCTTAAACTTAAAAGTTATGAATTGATGGGTTATCTAGTGTATTCATCTATTTTGATATTGCTTAACTTTTGGCTACACCCCATCAGGGTTTCCCAAAAAGGTTCCGGCTTATATACTATTAAAACGTTTTGAAAAACGTCAAGTCAGTATTGAGATTGAGTTCTTTGTTAAAACAGGTTTAAAGGCAATTAAAATTCATACTAAAATAGTAAATGATTCAGATGAATCTTCACGCCCATGCCTTCTGGTTTAGATAAACCTAGTCCGCTAGGTATTAAGCCTAACTGTTCTCATCTTTCTCATTTGATAACTGGAATGAAGTTTCCGGATTGCTGTAGAAATCTTTTCCATTCATTCCTAAAAGGTGGTTTCAGTGGGTTTAAGTCTTCCACTGTAGCTTTCGATGATTTCCACCTACTGCAAAAAAAAAGTGGCAATCGCAGATAAGTGTTTTTTAGACCTTTCGGAAAGCATCTAAATAGATGAAATCAAAAAATTGAGGAGTCGTTAATATAATTGTTTTAAGGTTGATTTTGAAGTCAATTAAAAATCAATTTTTGCATTCCCGTTCCACAAACTTAACACTACAAAAAAAAATTAGTATAATATATTCTTCATACCTTTTCTTTTACATTATAATCAACGCTGTTTCCATCAATTATTGGATCGTCTGAGCATAAGGTATCGAAGCAGAAGCCAGGTGGAGCAGAGTAGTGATTATATAAAATGCCAGTAAATAGTTCAGAACGTTCACCTAAAATATGTTCGAATTTTTTGTTAACATTATTTATTTATTTGATATGTAAAAAAGACAAACCTAAATCAGCGCTTGCTTTCCAAACCATTTCACCAGTTAAATTAAGAAACCTTTGACTTCTCTCCACCCAATCTAAACGAGCAAAGAATTCACCATCATAACCCATTTGGGCAAAAATCGATGCCATTTCTCGTGAATGACCAAAAGGATCGATTTGCCAGCCAATGCGTGGTCGTGCGCAAGTACCAAAAGTATCAGATAACATTCTGATTATATTAAAATATTAAAGAAAAAATTTTTAAAAACTGATCATTTTTTCTATCTCAAATAGATTCTTACTTTAGGCCAACAGTGAACTGATCTATGACACTTTGATAATGCACGGCAGCTTCATCATTCATGCTCCACGCACCACCAGTAAATTCAAATTGACCATTTTCAATCAATTTTTTGACATTGCTCTTTACAGTTGCGGTCTGTGTTTCGTACCATTTGAAGAAAAATGCAGACTCAACTTGAATAAAACTGTAATAGATTTTTATTACATTTTGAGTTCCATATTTGGTGATATTCAAAACATTTAATGATAATTTTCTGGTATTAGATTCTTACCGCCTATTTGAATTTTTTAACAATTCTTGGATCACACTATCCAGAATTTGCTCTACTCCAGCACGCTGTATAGAATTTCTACTGCCATAATAATATTGATCAACCGTCTTTAGCCAGCCGACATCATCATGTGAATGTGGCACCAAATGAACGTTTATCATATTGGACTTGGTGGTGGGACATGCCTACGAATATTGAAAATCATGTTTAATATTTTGTTGTGGGAATCATCGTAAGTAGAAATGTATATATATATATAAAGACATGTACTTTTTTTTAAAATAATTTTAATTAAAATGCAGTTAAATTATGATACTGATATTAATAGAACAATCTAGTTATCTATTAAAATAAGAAAAGCGATATTTTTTCGGAGCAGGTGTTTATATGAGTCACTGATATTGGAAATTTTATTTATTAGTTTTTGGTTTTTAATCATAAATTTCTATTTTTTAGCTTAAGATAAATAATCAATAACAGAAAACTTTTTTAGTCATTATATATTTGTTATGTACTTAATAATCTATTCATTTTTATAAAAACAAGCCACAATAACTTTATGTTATAACTAAAGCTAAATTGAAACAACAGTATCAAATTTGTTGCATACAGACTACCAAAAAAAAAATTCCACCTATCAAACACTTTGTATAATAGAACCACTGAAGTAAAAAACTTTAGAAATGGTTAAGTTTACATTCGAAACTCACTCGCCAACATCCAAGTGGTATTTACTACTTCCCTTGGATCATACTACACTACAGCTACAACAGCGACTGAAATGACGTGTTTATCACATATTAAACTGCAACGATTGATTAAACAATAGTCAGTGCCTACAATATCATGGCAAGAAATATCAAAAATGTCTTTGGTCAAATATATATCAGTAGAACTGAACAATATTAAGCAAACGTCGGATATATTGTTTAGACAATTTAAATGAACTACACTTAAAGTTGGCAGCTACTATAGACAAAGTTTAAGAAACAGAATATGGATATTATATATAAAATAAAACGCACACCCAATTTTTTATTATCATTAGATTTTTATGTATGGGAAACAATGACCGCAACAGTTATCATTAAAGAAATAAAAATCACCTTCTAACTGTTATGAAACGCATTTTAAAATAAAACTCAAAAAATACTAATTATATATGATTTATATTATATTTATCAAAAATAATTATTATCATGTGCATTTTATTTTTTCACGCACAACTAACTCTTACACTCTGCTTTTTAATTTAAAACGCACAAATAATTGTTATTTTTATCTTATAAATATAAAAATCAAGAATAACTTTTGTTTTTAAAAACAGAATATAACTCACGTGGCTTGTCTGATATTTTTAAAAAGGAAAATATAAAATGCATTTCGCATGTAAGGTAGTTGTTTTTGTAATTTCATACAAAATATATTAAAGAGTTTTTTGTGAAATGAATATTGAAACGTCTGAACATATTCTTTAAAATATCCTAAACTTAAGAGCAGCAGATAGACTTAAGTCTAGGGCAGGCTGACGGCGCCTAATAATAGGTCTGTTCCACGAGCTACTCATAGTAACTTTGAGTAAACACTGTGTATACACAAGCGCGTTCCACCTGCAAATTTTCAAGTATTTTTGTGTAAATTTTACTTCTGTTTTACTCATGTTTTACTATGAGTAGCTCGTGGAACAGACCTAATATATGCAAGAATATAAAACCGTCAGTGATGCTTACATCTAACGATAGCCTGATGATATTTAAAAAAAATTGGAGTTTGCAAAATAGATCAGATGTTTTATTTCGGGATATAGAGAATATAGTTTAGTATAATTAATAATCATTATATGCTGCTATATTTTATATATTATATTATAAGTATATATTACCAGTTTTAAAAGAACGACAACAAAGAAAAACGTTTTAGAAAGGATCAGCATAAAATTTTGCATCAGAACATGACGCCCTATGCTCCATTGAGGCCCTTTGCTTCACTGAGAGATGAGGATGACAGAAAAAAAAAAATAAAGAAAATACGTGACGACGTAAATAATTAATACGATTGTAGGAAAATGAACGCTGAATCCAACGCTGAATATTATCAATTTTTTTACTATATATAGCAAGTATTCAATTGAGTATGAAATATGAATATGAAAACGAAATATTGTATCAAAAACTAAACAACTTGAAGATTCTGTAGATTTTCGCTTAATTTCATATGAAAAATAATGCATGAAGAATTAGACATAAGACAACTCTTTACGCCTTGTATACCGTATTTGCAGATCTTTGATCAAAAACACAATTGCTTAAATGTATCTAAAGCTAATACAATATATTGGGTAATTTGACACAACGCACTATTCACATTTTATTTTGAGTTACAGACTCAGGAAATGGTATATAAATATGTGTATTAAAATGAGTTATGAGTTATTAAATTTAATTTTATATAATATAGGTAATGGTTTTTTTAACAATTATAATTAAAGTAATTTAATTAAAGTTCTTTCTGGTCATTGATGTATAGAGATCCACTGCGCATTTCCCATAATCCTCACTGCAGAAGTTGTGGAAACCCGCAGGTGCAAACACCATAATACATTTTTGCATTTGTGAATGCCCGAAAATATAGGTTCTTAAGAAGATACATCTTTGATAGTTTATCAGACTGTTCATCAGTGAAGACGAAAGACCTATTAAATTATCTTAATTCGGTAGGATGAATTTAGTCTCTACTCTTCTGCACTCTTCTGTACTATAAAATGGTTATTGTGTATAGTGTCATGTATATAGGAATATCAAACAAATGAACGACTGTTAGTAGTGCTATCAGTTAATATGTTATTTTATCTATTCAATGAAAACAAACGTATAGCTTTTTAAATAAATATTACTAATAATTAAATTTTTACTACAGGGATTATCATTAAAAAACAATCAGTCGCTATAAATCAATTTTTTCAACTTTCACATCCGATTTAATAATGACATTTTTATTTAAATTTATGATGTTTTTAAATTCATACCAAGTCTTTCGATAAGATTTTAACATTTTGCAATGTTTTTTATTTTTTTTTTTAAAGTACATCACATTTTGTTAAAGTTCATTTAAAAAAAAAAAAATAATTTTAAATTTTTAATATATGCACTATTTTTTATTAATAAATCAAGTGCATTTAAATACAATAGTGTATATGTGTATATAGTAAAGAGTAGGGAATACTGTATGAGCCAAAAATTCTAGTAACCATCAAACGAAAATTTAGTTTAGGAGCCTAAAGTACTTGATGTCTTATTCAAAGCTACGTACTTCACTGCTTCGTAAAGCACCAAAACCCAAAGGACTCCAATATGCAAATGGCAAAAAGTAAATTGAAATTTTTGAACTTAACGCTATTCCACTTTCAAAAATTAATTTTTCTTAATCAAAGTATGAAATAAAAATTAAAAAAAAATCATTCTATTAATTTAAAAATTAATTTACATGAAAGACAATAAAAATGATTTTCAAACAGTTTTTTTACCAACGGTATACCATAAACCCAAAAAAAAAAATAACAGACCGTAAGAGTTAATTCAATAGACGAATTGAGGACACTATGTGTATAATATATATGTATTTCCAGCTTTATTCACAACTCAAAACTTATAGATGTGATTCCACATCACTAATTGAATGCTCTTCAAAGAAGAAGAAAAAGAAAGAACAACCATAATGCACAGATTAACGCGAAACTCTAAGATTTTCGTCGCAAAATGAACAGAGAATTAGCTAGTCCTAGAATATGCCTAAACTAAGAACGAAAACCTATTTTATGGCCATTACAAAACTCGGAGAAAGACGCAGCAAACGAAAATCTTTAACTACTATAGCTAAGGCCTATACGTAGGACTTAGTCCAACATAGATGTTTATTTTATATTGATAATGGAAGATAAATTACTTTTGATCACTTTTGTATCTGTTAATCGTTTAAAGATTTTATTGAACGCAAAGACAAACACACATTCACTAGACAGTCTACAACTTTTGAAATTTAAATAATGATCGTACCACAATAAATATTAAAATCAATGTAGAAACCTAAAGTGATTTACTAACTAGAGCCACTAAATCCTATCTTTAATATATATTTAATATATCGTGTCAGCCAAAATTTATTATTGTATATATCATAGGCATACACGTATACAAATAATATGATCTATATGAAATATGATCTTTTTATTGCAAAACTATAGGCAACTTTCAAAGTTTGATCAAAATTCATAAAACGAGATAAATACAGACATAAGATATATTACATTACTATATAAGAATAATGTAAAATTTTGTCAAGATGCCTGATCATGTGGTGTACATAGTTAACAAAATGCTTTGCTCAGAAAAATATAAACTGTTAGTGGGAAGCACAATAGAGGACATATGTCTGGTGAGAGGATCAAATGACTAATGATTTGGAGACAGTACAACCAATTGTACTGTCAAGTCGCAGATCGAGCTCACTGGCAAAGGATACTGAACGCGACCAAAGCTGTCAGACGTCCATCATAATCAACTAAGTGAGTACTAGTACGTTTACACTACCTCAGGTAACTCGACAATTGTGCTATACCAAGTATTCTTTTTAATACAAAATCCATACAGATATGTGTGAATAGTGTGATATGCTTTAAAAAAAAATTTTAAATTTCTTGAACACTTTTTTTTTAAACTGAATACCAACAAAATCTAGCATGCAAACGGTATTTCTTTTGTTTTAAAATTACACGGCATAAAATTTAATTTAAATTCGAATAACAGATTAACAAATATAAGGACCTTATACATTTTTCCTTCATCTAAAATATTCAAATCATTTTATATATATAATATATATAGTTATTCTATATTCAATTAGTAAATCCACATGAAATCTCACCTTATATCCACAAGCAGCATCCACATTCCGACTATTTAAGACCAGTAAACTGGCAAATAATACTGTTAATAAAAATTTCATTTTGAATCGAAAATATTAAAGTGCACTGCGGCAGCTTTAAATCGAAAGAAACAACACTTCAGTTAAACAAAAATTATCACTGGGGATTACAGTAACCAATTTTTTTATTATCACTGCACACAAATATGTGTAATAATTTTTATTGACTCCAACTGGTGACGGATCTTGGAGCAATACTGCTTCGATATTAATAAATATGCTGGCATTTTATAGAAATGAAAATGTAACAAAAAAATTACTCAAAATTATAATCTATTCAATCAAAAATGAGCTACATTCGGCACTTTTTCCAATGAACCTAATGAACCTAATCAACTAGGTTACTGATTTCTATATACTGATTGCTAATGAAATGTTGTGTCTTATAAACACATTATTCGACTAAATTAATATTTTAAATACCTTCTTTTAAATCTCATATATACTATTATGTATACTATACATATATACTATTATTAGCTATAATAAGGCGATTACTGTGAAATCTTCAAAAATAAAAAAGTAAACACAAAATATATTTTCCTTCAACAATATTTATATTGTTGATGACAAATACTAATCTCCAAACTGGGACGAACCACTAACCAATAGCGACTGATATCTGTGAAATAATGGCTACTGTTTCGTCATTCACAAGAGAATTAACAACAATTAAATTTGGTGCGCATTAACTCATACCTACGTCATAAGTAATTTTGAAAAATCTATAGATCTATGTGAAATGAAATCGCCTTAGAAGGCAGATCTCCAGAAAAAAGGTGAAAGCTCTGCGAAGATAAAGTCTGGAAGGTATGTCCATATACATGGACAAACCACTCAATTTTAGTATTTAATAAATCCGAAAAATAATTACCGGGAAGCATTATAGAAGGAAAAATTTTCTTCAGCTTTGTTTTATACTTCATAAGTCACAGTGAATAAAAATACGTTTCAATTTGATTGGTTAACACACATATTCATTCGATTAACCCGCCAATGACAATTCAATGTTTTCAAACTTGAAAGTTTAGCATAAATATATTTACCCCCCTATTCTTTGAATTTGACACATTCGTCAAGTATTGAGAATTAGATAAGATTTTTTATTTTTTTTAATTCGTTATTTGCTATTTTAAATTTTATTATGCATATATATAACTCACAACTATTGCTATATTTTTACAACACTTCAATAAATAATAATAAAATCATTAATAATTAATCATTAATATTTTTATAAAATTTATCAAATTTTATTTTATTACTATTCTTATATTTTACAGCACTATTTTGAATTTTATTATGCACACAAATATTAATAAGAAATGCTTGTAAAGACTATATATTTTATTTGTCAAGATTATTTGTCATCGTGACAATTTATTAAGAAAAGAGCTTTTTATTTAGAGCATATAATACCAAAACCTTGACAAATTGTCAACCTTGACAAATAAGTAAAATGGTGAATAATTTTCATTACTTGACACATTTGTCAAGTTACAGAATAGGTCCCCTATCATATATATGATTCACAGCATATTTATATAAATTTTGAATATCTGAATGCGATGCACTATTTCGAGGACTTGAAGAAGTTGAAACACTGTTTATAAAAATGAAAAAAGAATGAACTGCAAGAGCGCTTAATATAAAAAAAAAAAAACATTATCGTTAGCACAATTCTGGCTACACCATTAAATAGACTATATCATTGTATTGGCTAGCAGGGGAAATATAATGAAAAAAATATTCTGAAATAATACTTCGGTTTGGTCATATATTATTCCCGTGAAAAAACTAATGAATATATTATTTGGGTCCTGTTTTTTTATTGACAACGATAAGCTGCTTGTATTATATGAGACTTTTAAAATTGTCCTAAGCATTTTCAAACAGAAAAAATTGATGAATATACTATTTAGATCCTTTGGGTCTTGGTTTGTTGTTGACAGCGATAAGCTGCTTTAATTATATGAGGCTTTTAAAATTTTTCCAAGCATTCTCAAACAGCTGATAATCAATGTTTCTAAATACTAATGCAATCACACAAGTACGGTACAAAAACGGCACGGGTCTTATGAAGGGAGTCACCACATTATCTTTCACAAGCTTTCCAATTATTTCATTACCGTTCATTCATACAGACTAGTGTTTCTTCAATCGTATTTTAATATTATTGTTAGACGAATATTAACAGATATGGTGTTATACATGAAAAATATAAAAAATATTTGTGACATATTTCTCAGTAGGCTGAATTGTGGATCACAAACGTAAGGTACATTAAAAACAGTCGCTGATAAGAAAAATATTGAGCGAAACTCGATTTTAGTTCACTGCAGAGCGGTGTAAGTATATTTTTTGCCTTTACTATTGAACGATGATAAGCGTGTGAATTAAACAACAGCATTGGTAATACCTAGCTCTATAGCAGTTTCTCGTTCTCGTAGTACCAGCAGCATAGAAACATGAGCCCACAGTAAACTTTGTGCTTGCCACAAATAAGCAGGCAGATAAGCAACCCAAAACTGTAATTAGTTCCGAAATTGGCAATATCACTTTAGAAAAAATGCAATAAAACCATTTGAAGTAGCTATTATGACACTTAAATTAGTAATCAAATTTATATTTCTGGCAACCTGTAAACTGCTGACAACTATCACAGCACTAAACATACGTTCAGGCCTGGAGTTCAATAATAAAGATTAGATACTCAAACACCAACAAATACTGTCGCTTTTTCAACTGCATGAATAACAAATGAGTAAAGTGAACATTTTTAACTGAATATAAAATTATAAATATGCTATTATTGACCTCGCACATTTCTCTTTATCAATCCAGCGTCAATTGGCGAACCTTACTAATGAAAATAAATAAATTTGATATATATATAAATTCTTGGTACTTTTTTCTATCTGCAGTATAAATAAAATTGCGGGGATTAACTGAATATTATTCCATTTTATTTTAAAAAGTTAAGATAAATTTTATCAATTTTAAATTTGATTTAAATCGCCTTTGTTCTGATTGCCGTCTTGGTAAATAATTTTAAGAATAATATTTTTAAATATAAATGAGTAATATTTGTTTAAATGATTTACAATTTAAAAATACAATTCTTAAAATCAGTTCTGAAAAGAGTTCACAGGAATACACATAATTTCAACATATTACTTTTACTGCGTTCCTACATTAAACTGAATATAAAGTAAATAGGTGATCACATCACCGAAATAGATCAAGGTGGTATAATTGTTTATAAATCTACATAAATATGCGCCTATGCTAACGATATCGTCATTATTGCAAGAATCGAGTAATATCTGCAAAGCGTTTTCATACAACTAGAGCAAGCTACAAAGAAAACAGGCCTCAGAATAAACGATCAAAAAAACTAAAAACATGACAAGATTTTTCCAAGATAGTCACATCAGAATAGGCAGTTACAATTTCGAATCTATAAACGAGTTTAAATATCTAGACGTAGTTCTCAGCACAAGTAAACATGCGACTCTTGCAAAACAAGATCGTATTCAAACAGCTAATACAGCATATTTTGCCCATATCAAGCTTATAAAATCAACGTTACCATCAAAGGAAAAAAAGTTGCGCATATACAGAACTGTTATTAGACCGGTTCTTACCTACGGCTGCGAAACATGGGTCCTTAAATCCAGCGACAACAACCTGCTACTAAGATTCGGAGAGAGAAAAAGAATACTCCCGTGGTTAGGATTGCCTGTCGTAAGAGGCGACTAAAATCCCCCAGTGCCAGTCTGGCACTTATGTAAGAAATGCAAATGGTAGTGAGTAAGCACGGCACTCAAACGTAGTACCGATCTGGTACTACGGGGGTCAGTGGCCCGCAGCTTCGGCTGTTCTAACCATTGGCATTGACTTCGTAGTGGCTGTCGGTTGATACCCAAACGTACGCGGGAAGAATGATTTAGTATTGGGTTATCATTCATTCGCCTTGGAGTACGTTTCACCCCGGGTGCTACAGCCCCGTGGTTTTGGGTAGACCTCGCATCTCACCAAGGTGGACGTTATGACTTACATAAATTTCTTCAATAGATATCTTTATATCGGCGGAATAAAGATGGCTATTCCAATGGGGCTTTATATTAATACTTGTGTTAAGAGCACCATGATGTTGAGCCATCCCGGCAGGAAATCACGTAAAACAATTTGAGACTTCTGTGCTTAGAAGACGGCACATATCGTATACGTTATAACACGATACATAAAAGCCCAAAGATTGAGCTAGTATGGACACATCGTACGAATGAGTGACGAAAGAATGACTAAGAAAATTTTCGAGACAAAGCCAGAGGGGAGTAGAAAAAGAGTACGACCGCGACGAAGATGGTTACAAGATGTAGAAGACAACATACGAACGATGACAATAACACAACACAGAAAGAAATCGAAATGCAGAGAAGCATGGATGCGTATTGTATAGGAGGCAATGATCCATCCTGAACTATGATGCCAACAAAATGATGAGGTGATCACATGTATTGAGTTTAAAAATCGCAACAAAATAATATAGATTAAACTACATTTATCACAAAAAACATTAAATTTTGGTTATTTTGCACACACTTAACAATTTTTTATTAACATAATAATAAGTTGAAATATAAGCGATACTTGATATTCAAAATTAATAAAATAATGAACTACCAAGTACCTACCAACAAATTCAATATATTGTTAATCCAAGTCCAAAAAATGTTATCATTAACATTGGAGTGGCAGCAGATTCATATTGACTTCTCAAAAACTCTCAAACAAAGTCTATATTAAGAGCTATCAAAATATGGTATTAAATGATAAACTGATCCCAATTTCGATTCATCCTAAAATAATCCTAATCCGAGTAGAATTACACAGTCGGTACACAGTTGGAGCATACATTCCCTTCCTGTTGTCGGAGTTAAAGTATTATAACATTTAAACTCAAGTTCTTTAAGCCGATTACTATAATTTCACGAAACATTTAAGATCAGCCATACTTCTGCTATCTACTTCTGCTATCTACTTCTGCTTAGTTGTTTCACAATGTCAACACTTTTCCATATAGTTATAGTCTATATATGTGTTCGAATTGATTTATCTAAATTAATAATAAAAAATTAGTCAATTTTAAATGTAGTGTAACGTGGGGAGTTTCTTTATATACCAAACTGATACATACCTCTGCTACTATAGTTAGAACAGATATGTAAGAGACTCCTATTCACCTTTGCACTGTTAAAGAAGCTTCATCTCTTTAAATTGAGAGCCAAGATCTCCACTATCACACAGTTACAACTCAACAACTATACTTTTCCATTTGTCACACTGTTAGACGATATATGTAGTAATATATTGTATATATATAGTAAACATATAAAACATACTTTTAATCCAAGTTTAGTTTCAAAGATTTTAAGACACGTCATATAACTTCTATACAGAAGTATTTCATTAGATAGATTTTTACATATATCTCCCAAGATTATTGTGACTAAAATTTGCACATTTGCAAGTCAAATGCAGTACAAAATGCGATAGTTGAATTGTGTCCTAAAAAGAGTGCTCACGCATGTGGGACGGTATAAAGTGGACATATATCTTCTGAAGGTCTTAGTTCAAAATCTGCAAATCTTCAAACGTTTTAAATATATCATTTCAAACCAAAACTGACTACTTGTGTCCCAATAAGAGTGTTCACGCATGTGGCACGGTATAAAGTAGACATATATCTTCGGGAGGTATTCGTTCAAATATTGCAAATCTTAAAACGTTTTAAATGCAGCATTTCAAGCAGTAACTGACGATTTGTGTTCCAGTGAGAGTTATTATGCATATGACACCTATATAAACTAGGCATATATCTTCAGGTAGTGTTAATTCAAAAATTGCAAATCTTCACGTAATTATAAATTCATCATTCTAAGTTCGAACTTTAAAATTAATACTCAATAGGTATATTTTCACATTCCACAGAACCTTAAAATAGTTATTCGTGTTTAAATTAATTTGGATGTACAATTATGTCTTCTTTCATTTCATAAATAAACAGAATTATTAGGTAAGTAAAATTAATATATATATCTTCAAGTATTTCTAATCATAAAGGGACGAGTATATTATATAAATAATTTCTTTTTATATATACGTCACACATGACATAATGCTACAGCTGTTTGAGTTTTTTATTGTGTATTGCTGTTTTGATATTTTTGTGATAAATATTAGTTTCTGCTTAATAATTACTACATTAATAATAGTACTTACTTTATAGTGTATATTATTTAAAGGCTTATGAAGTGGCAGTTATTTATTACAACAAATCCTTACTGTGGCTAAGCCAACTACATAACTTTATAAATATCGTTCTTTCCCTATTGAGATACATAAATTGCACCTAAGTCAATTGAATAGACGAATGACTCAATCCCACCAGAGTTGAAAAGTTTTTTTTACTTTCAGTTAGTGGCTCACACACAACCAAATCCGTTAACCGAAGACCCGGCGACCTTTTAACTACATTCGATCGAAGTGTCAGGGTGCCTTTACCTGAAATTAGCACTACACACGCCCCTTCATTCCTTCACCGGTTGAACAGACAACATCTGAACTACACATCTCATCGAAATGGCTATAATCGTACATCTTTGATTGGTACCCCCACATACTTTTCATTCGAGTTACAACAAAAATATTAATTTACAAATACACTGAAGAAAAAAATTATATGTCGAAAATAGGTATCCAGCCAAAAGTTTAGACAGACTGACTTTATAAATATGTACTTAATCCATACCACTAATACTTATAGATTTTATGTCTGTACAAGAAAACTGTACATAGGAAAATTTTTGACTAAATTATTTAAAACTATTATAAGGAGGATACGCAATAAATAATTTTACTGATAACCAGTTAAGAAAATTATAGCAATACTTATTCAAAACAGATATTGTTTTAATCGAATACTCACCGGGTTAAGGAGAATGATATATATTAAGTATATTATCTATCATTTGTAAATAGTATTTAACAGTCATCTATCCATTTTTTATTGCAGTGCATGTGTTTCTTTCCGACGTAAGACTTTTTCATCGACATAGAGATTCCTTTCTCCTGATTCTTTAAAATTAAAAAAATTTTTGAAGGTTGACTATAAAATTATATATATTACTTACTTGGCGGTTCTGTAGCTCCTTCTATTACAACAGGTCTTTATGGTTGATCACTACTATAAGTAATAATTTATTTAAAATTATGTTTAAAATATTTATATATATATATATATGTCATTCCTATGAGTTTGTGGTCTAAAATGCAACCATTTTATAATTGTTTCATCATTATATTTCTCTACAGAACAGAAACTATTTACATTTTTTTATTTTTGCTAAAATAAAAGTGGTATATAAGGAAACACACCCTTGACATATGACTTGTCAGATGATTTTAATTTTCAATTTGATCATTTATATTAATTTCTAAGTTTTTACAAACTTATCACAGCACATTTTAATAATGATTAATCAATCACTTAACAACTACCGATTTAATAGCCTACAGCACGACACTAAAGTGATTGCTGTCTGTCTATATCAACCTGAACCTTTTAGGCTTAGGTCCGTTTAGGTGGGATTAGAAACACGGCTTGCGATAATTATTCTCAGCTATGCCATATTAACATCGCTGCTTGTTGCAATGGATGAAATGGCGGCAGTTAGTACATAGCCCGACGCACTAGATTTTACTTCTTAAAATACATATTCAATATTTTTTATCATTATTTTTGTCAAATTTTTACGAATTGCAATAATGCAATTATTCGCGAAACTTTTGAACCTAATTATGTATCACGATATGATTGACTTTTTCAGAGAAAAGCCACCACTTTCATTTTTCTATATATTCAACAAGCTATTTATGAGATTTATTAAAAACTTAACAATTTGTGGTATATTTTCTATGAAAAACAAATTTAAAACAATTTAAACAAATTGAAACACTAAAAAAAACTTGCATTTTAAAATGAAAATAGGAAGACAAATCAGATGCATAAAAAAAGTTTTGTTCTTAAAACAGGGTTGTACCCAAAATTATTCCTCAGGTTTATGTTATGCAGAAAGTCACTGGCACTGACAGCTTCCTTCATGTTGCATTAAAAGCAATAATAATTGCAGTGACATTACTGCATTCATAATAGGTCTGTTTCACGAGCTACACGTAGTAAAACTTAAGTAAATCTTAAGTAAAGTACAAACTGAGAGGGTAACACAAAAATAGTGCCAAATTACGCTCTTTACACAGATTTTCATGGAACAGCTTTGTGTAAAGTCTGGTGTGAACACTAGTGCCGCACAAATAAACTAAACAAAAATTTGAATTCAAACCAAAACAGCTGATCCAGACATCAACACAAATTTTACTTGAAATAAAATGTACCAGTAAAGTCTGTGTAGCACAGAGATGTTCAACAGAGATGTAACGCTCTCTGAGATGCTCTCATTTGTATATGCACAGTGTTACTCAAAGTTACAAGTAGCTGGTGGAACAGACCTAATATGTCCATTACTAAATTGCTTAAATATTCAACTTTAACCAAAATAAATAAAAATCCTATACATGTATATATATATATATAGTAATGTGAAATAGAGTAATATGTTCAATTTTTATATTCACTCACCTGCCACTGTAGAACTTTCCGTTGAGTATCAATAAAAATCCAGAAACAAGAAATTTAAAAAGGACATTTTCGTCAAGTAAAATTTTTGATGTATGTATGTCAAAAATTTTGATAATTATTAAAATTAATTTAGTAACGGGAAAATTTTGTTGTGCAAAAATTTTTTAAAAATATATGAAAATGTTAAAATAGTTAGATAGAATAGTGAGAGTCCCTAAGGATTTGAATGCTTAGGGCAAAAGGCTTAATCTTTGCACTCGTGTCGAAGTTACCAATCTTCACAAGCTTCATTACAAAATACGACTTATCTTCATATTCGTCAAAACTCATTCGCTTGAAACCGCACTTCAGCATACCGTTCTTATATTTTATGATGCTGTCAGTGGACACTTTTTGATCAACCACATACATGACACCGCCTTTTCTTAAAATACGATTTGCCTCCATCATTGTATATGTTAAGTTGTGTCCTGTCAAAGTAAAATAATAAATTATTATGTCTTTCGATCTCGTGCAAATCGGCGTGATTCCTTCTTTAACTACATCTTCGAGTGATTCATAATTATGTATAATCTTGCGTCTTAAAGAATCATTGTTAAGTCCAATGAATAACACATCACACTTTACCGTTGCTTCTTGCAATAGTTGAAGAACCTTTGCTGAAGGACTATCAAGCCAAATTTTTTCATTTACTGCACGTATACCCATCCATGAACAGAATTGAAGCCATCTCGAATATAAACTCGAAAAAAATGTTATCGGTTCTTCAACAATAGGTTCATCCTGGACACGAACTAATGTTATTGACGAACGTAATCTACGCATGCGCTTATTTTTGGATATACCAGGGTGAAGTACTGGTCTCTTTTTAACAAGGCGTCGCTTGTGCTGCGAGCGCTTGCGTTTTTTTTTTACAAGTGCCGAAAGTGGTTCAGGCATATATAATGAATTAAATAATTTTATACCGTTGTCAAATGGAAACACTTAATTTCGAACTAAAATCTATAAATATATTTTCACACTCTTCGAAATGTTACAACATTCAAGTCAAAAAAAAAATATATATGAGTTGTATTATAATACTTTGTAACATTTTTTTTAGAACGTATACGATTACTCAGTTAATTTTTTTTTTAGAATGAATATGACCACCAGCTAGAAATTGCCCAAAGCCAGGCTCTGAGAAGTCTTTTCAAAGTTCCATGGTACATTAGGACGAATGACATCCTCAGGGACCTCAAGATTGATCCCATCAAAAAATACATAAATGATAGAGTCTGAAATTATTTGCAAAATCTGACAGACTTATACGGCGTTTACATTGGCCGAAAATGGCTCATTTTGGTCAAAAATCGAAAATGAGTATCGAATGGTTCATTCTTGCATATAAAATTTCAAGCACAAAATGAGCAATTTTCTCACATTCTGTATGAATGACGTTCGAATGCATTCCACATATGTTCCAAATGCAAAGGAATCTATTGAACATACCCTAAATGAAAGCTCTTCATGGCATTTTGACAGTTTGTAAAAGCTGTTTTGACATATTTACAAAAAAAGATAAACAAATGTTTAGTAGTTTTATTTCAGTTTGAATTGTTACCATGAGAACGAATGAAATACAACGAATGTAAACACTTTCAAATGAGTCATTCAAAATGAGTCATTTTCGGCCAATGTAAACGCCGTATTACCAACACAGCGTTATCAAATCTCAGAATGGTTACAGGCTCCTCGGGGAGATATGCAGATCTGAGGTCAATTATTGCTTAGTCTGATGAAGTGATAAACAATAATCCAGTCAAGGCGCAAAGAGGGGTTTTGTAGAAACCTCACAGTTAATAGAGAGTAAAAGTGCTCAGGTGGACTGACTCACCTCAACTAGCCTCAACATATATGAATCTAAAATATTTTTCAACATTTAATAACGTATTTGTATTGATTAATTGTACAACGCTTTATAATATTTAGAATCAGCTGGTGTTTTACGATTTACCGAAGAAACTTACAGATCTGATACCTCTGTAATTGGGTAATACTGGATTCACACGACAATCTTGATTGTAATTTTAGCTGCCATTTCAAATCATTATTGATTTCAATACCAAAACAAGTTCAAGTCAAGAAGATTTGTTTTGACAAATTGAAAACAACTAAAAACATAATTAAATCGGGATTTCTACAAAATTAAACTGATTTTTACTAGGACAGTTCACCGTAGTATAGTATTGTGCAGTACCAACTTGTGCTATTGTGAATAGTTTTATATCACATGTATTTACCATATGTGCAAAGTATGTAGTATATATTTTATGAAAGCATTTAAAAAGTGTGAGCACATGATAAATCTGCCAATCAAATTACAATGAATGTCTTATGAATCGATACCTTTGCTTTTTGATTTCAAATGTCAGTTTAAAAATTTTGACAGGTAAAATTATAATCAAAACTCCCGTGTGAATTCTGTATAAGACCGCTTTCAATTGTTAAAATATATGTATATGTGCAGTTTTATAAGTGCATAACAAATAATCAAAACATTGAATTTCAAAGCAATGTATACACAATATGTCAAATCATGTACGGCCGCACACAGCCGTTCAAAGTGAGACAAAAAACAACAAGTCGCTTGCTAAAGTCTCTTATTTATACGCAAGACATGAACACTTTTCATGTCTACAGCACAAAAGTTGAGCTGTGAGCTAACGTGCTCAGATAGTAAGAGTTTAATGAAATGCTTGTTTGGAATTATTGAATATGTAATACATATGTGTGTATATAAAAAATATGTAATTGATTTAATATATGAATTATATATATAATTTTTTTATGTGATGCATTATTAATTAAAGGTTCTTGCAATTGCTTGCAATCTTTCTATAATAAAACTCATGTATATATCCTTAAAGCCAAACAAAAATTGCCACAAAAACAGCTGTTTCATTTTAATGTTGCAATTCTGCAACAGCGGTGTTCTTGCATTTTTCCATTTCGTGCACCTTGCCATGACTTTTCAAGACAGAGTAAATATCCCTTATATATTAAATTCTTTGCATTTGCCATGTTGAATTAATTAATTTCTGCTAACAACACGAAACTAAACATCATCTGCTTTCAATTAAAATGTAAACAATGAAAAGCTTTCTTAGAACATTTGCTGAACTTTCTGACACATAAAAGCCCTTTCACGTGCAATAAACAACTTATGCCAATGTAAACGACCAAATCTTAATTTGATTAACAAAAGTTATTTTAGCTGTAGTGGAAACACGGTTTTACGTATACCATATATGTAAAACTTTTTAATTGTGAAAATATAGTATTTAATAGAATGCAACAGTACCAATGTGTTAGCAATGCATATGCATACATGTTTACAGACGTCCTGATTCTGATTTTTTTCGCACTTCGGAGCGGCCAAATACACTTATTAACGCACTGTTTTGACAGATTTTTTATTATTAGTACTATTTCTATAATTTTTTTTCTTTTTATTTTATTCAATTTATAAATTATTTTTTGAATCTTTCATTTAGAAAGTAATAATAGGTGAATTAAATCTTAAAAATGAACTTAATTTTTTCCCTATGCTATTGCTTTGGAAAAAACTATTGACACATTAAATAATTTGAAATAAAATTAGGTTGAATTAAATAAATCAAACTAAAAATCGCATTTATTCAAGTATAATTTATTATATTCTTAATCAAATAAAAATTAAGTGAATTTAGCAGATGATAATTCTATCCTTTTTTGTTTTTAGTAGTTTGTGGCCTTTGTACAGTTGGAGCTTATAAGCTGATTGGATAGGGTGGGCTTCTAAATTTAAAAGGTACTGACGGTTACATTTCACATTTAGGATTTTCGAATTTTACTTTAACCTGCTTTTGTAATACAAACGATTAAATTGTAATTTTATTTTTCAGAATTTTGTATGAAATCTGAGACGAATGTGAAACTAATGCTACGTTTCCACTATGTCATTTGCAATGTCAAATATTATCAGTATAATGAAAACGGGTAGTCATATGATGACATATTCGCATTATTGTCATGTAATGAAAACGCTTTTGACACACCAGTCAATTATAATTGTCATATAAAATAACATAGTGAAAACAAGGCATAACTTATGTAGTGATTTGCAGTTGCACCCTACGCGGATTTTGGAACCACAAATTTCAATTTTTTTTTTGTGGTTTTTACAATTTTTTGTGGTTGTTATATAGTAGGTCTGAAAAATCTCTGTATGAAATTTAATTCAATTCAGCTTTAATAGCTATCATAGTTTTGATTTGTTACATGTTTTTCCATATACATATGTAAATCTTAAGTTTTTATATTTTTATAATTTTATTCTTCGTGGTTGAATAAGTTGTGTTTTAAAGCGACTTACTTCAACTTAAGCATGATATAGATGATACTACAAGTATGCACACTAAGTATGCAAACTAAGTATGTGTTTTGCTATCACTTTAATGTAAGGTGTTATTTTACCACATACATGTCTGCAGACCGAAATTAGGTATACATACTTGAATATATGGTACACAGTGCGATTTACTTGCACGGCATGCTTGATTTGCATACATATAGCATCGTCTATATCAGGGCTGTCCAGACCAGTTGCGATCTCGAGCCAATACAAATCACTCTACATATTGGAGGGCCGCAGAAACAAATACGACCAATAAACCAAAAGAAAATTTGTGTAATTGTAGTAGATTAAAAAGATGTCGCAAGCATTAAACGCGGGCCGCATGTGGTCCGTGGGCCTAGCTTTGAACAGCCCTGGTCTATATCATGCTTTAAGCATTTATGCTATGTTTAGACATATGGGCCGGGCCGTGTTTTGAATAGCTCTGGTCAATATCATGCTTTAAACATTTATGCTATATTTAGACTATTGTACTTAACTGGGCAAATATGCTACAAAGTTTGTCTTTTTTTAATACAAAATCCATATAAAAATACGATAAACGTAAATTAATTACATTAATTATTTTTAATTTTAAAGAATAAAACGCAACACTTCTTATGAAATTATTATCAATGATCTTTTCATATTAAATTTCTTTTTATCAACTTTTTTATTTTCATTTCATTTTTCATTTTTTTTGTTTTTTTCTTTTTTTCTTTTTGTTTGTTTATAAAGCCGGCAGTGAATGCACGATATTGTCCGCTGTTGCTAAAGTAGTGCAGCGCTACATACAGAATTGCTTTGCTTGCGCATCCATAATGTTCCTTCTTTTTTTTCATTTGTTTTTCTTTTTTTGTTTTGTGCTATTCGTTCGTGGCTGTGTATAGCACAATCCGGCCTTATCTGTTTACAGAATCAAACGAGTCAAATGAAAAAAAAAAACAACAACACAATAAACAATAAACATGAACGTTACATATGAGAATATTCAAGCTGTGATTGCTGTTTGTGGTTTATGAATTTAATTCTTGAATTGCGCAAAGAAAGCTGTTCCCGGTCAGTACGTACTTTCAACTCGTTTCGTTCGGGTGTAAGTTCGGATTAAAATTGTGTTGAGGATTTTTGTTTTTTTTGTTTATTTCTTTTAAATTCTCTACCGGCGGAAGATTAGTGAATAATGTGATATGGCTAACTGTAAAATAAAAAGCCTTTTGTTTATTTGTTTTATTGCTTTGAGTGCGGCACGCCCACAAAAGAATTCGAAATCCATACTTAATGTGGGCTCAAAATGTGGCTACGCAGTAAGTGATATTCTGTTCTTTTTTATTTCTATTATGTCGAAAAGTTTGTGATGCTCGCTTGAAGTGTGATACTAAGTCTATTTAAGCTATGTAAGTGTCATTGTTGGAGGAGCTCCCTCTTTACCTTCATATGGTATAGTATCATAAGTTTTGAAAATTTTTCCAAGAGGTAACAATATATTTTTTTCTATTAATAAGAACTAATGCAGCTACATATTTCAAATGTAGAATGCAGGTCTATCGACTGTAGCTAAATCGAAAGGTTATCAGTGTGATGTGTTTTTTTTCGTTTTCTAGTGAAAATACTTAAGCTAATCATAAGTAATCATAGAAATTTAGATGTAAGCTACCGATTAAGGTTGTCCAATTACGCAATATAAAATTGAGAACCCATGGAACATTAATAGTTTAAATATAGTCAATGTATTTCTTGAACTTTTAGATTTGTATGTACGTATATATTTACGAAACTATGTTTACAAAAATGATCGCAACGCTAGCAGATGTACCAGTTACACAGAAGTATATTGGCTTGACCGATATCTTCAAACAACTTGCGTACAATGACGACCAAAAATTAAACATTCCTCGATCTCTGCGAACCAAGCAAAGACTTACCAAAAAAAAAAGGTGTGATTCCAAACTGAGTCAAAACATCAATAATTACAGCTATAATTTAAGATTTCACAAATACAATTCAAAAAAGTTCCATCAATTTCAAAGATTATAGTAACAAAATCATATACATAGTAAATAAGTATGGTTCAAGTTCATAAAGCGAACAAATTCACGCCCCGCAGTCACTAGTGTTCAATGGTTAAGTGTCACTTTAGCATTATTTCAATACACATAACGCAATGCGTTGCAATAACGACGATATACTAATAGGAATCTGCTATTATAGTTGTTGTAACACTTGTCGTTCCAGCATTTTTGGGAGATAGTACTTTATTGCTTTTCTTACAAACAACGAATCTAAAACGGGCGAAATGAATGAGCAAGATGAACTAATAATGCTTTCTCACGTAGATCCAATCATTATTGAATAGAAAAGTAAATGCGACATGATTGGACATGTTATTGATTGCAAAAATTGCTCTATAAATCGCTGCAATAAATTTTTTTGCCAAACTTCTCTTGTAACCGAATTCCGTAAGAAATATAAACCCCACGATGAAGTGTTCTTAAAATGTCACAGTATCTAGAAGATGCTATTTGTTAAAAAGAATTGTGACATCAGACTAGGAGCAGCATATCTACATGCCTTCGTACTCTTTTGATATGTACCTAAACTAAAGAGTCCAGTATTTTTAACGTGATTTCCTGCCTTCAAGGCTTAACACCACGGTGTTCAAAAACACACGTATTAATATAAAGCGTCAATCAACGCCAATAAAGCGTCAATTGGAATAGCTTGCTCTATTCCGCCAGTTTCAACTACAGCAACACACATATTTAATGTTAGTTACTTAAATTTAATAAATTCTTTTAATTTTCAATTTAACACCTACAGAGCTGCCCTGCTGTTAAGCCGCATATGTTAAATGTTCATTTGGTACCACATACACATGATGATGTAGGCTGGCTTAAAACTGTGGATCAGTATTATTACGGAAGTGAAACGTTAATACAAAAAGCCGGTGTACAATATATAATCGACTCTGTTGTAGAGCAACTGCTCAAGGATCCCAATAAACGCTTCATCTATGTCGAATCTGCATTCTTTTTCAAATGGTGGAGCGAACAAACTCCCGAAATGCAAGAAGAAGTAAAAATGTTAGTAGACGAGGGTCGTCTAGAATTTATTGGTGGTGCATGGAGTATGAATGATGAAGCTACTACACATTACCAGAGCATAATCGATCAGTTCACTTGGGGTTTAAGGTAAAAATTTTATTCAAAACAAAAAAAAAAAAACTTTAAATATAATGAATCTATTTTTATTAAGACGTCTGAATGACACATTTGGGGAATGTGGACGCCCACGTATAGGTTGGCAAATTGATCCGTTTGGACATTCACGTGAAATGGCATCTATGTTTGCACAAATGGGTTTTGATGGTTTATTTTTTGGCCGTCTGGATTATCAAGATAAAGACGAACGCCTTATGAACAAAAAGGGAGAAATGATTTGGCGTGCTTCAGCTAATTTGGGTATGCAATTATATTATTAGTTATATTATTTTTTGAAAAATATTTTATTTTAATTTTTAGGTGAACCAGCACACTTATTTACAGGCGTTTTGTATAATCAATATCAGCCACCACCGGGTTTTTGTTTTGATATTCTCTGTGCTGATGAGCCAATTATCGACGGTAAACACAGTCCTGATAATAATGTTAAAAAGCGCGTAAGCATAAAATATTTCTGATCTTATTACAATAACTTCCCCACACTAAAAAAAGTAGTAATTCTCACATTATTGTCTTACATATCTTATCATGACGTTCATTCTGGTAATTAGGTCGATGAGTTCTTTGACTTTATCGAAAAGCAAAGTCGCTATTATCGTACTAATAATATCATCCTTACTATGGGTGGGGATTTCACCTATCAGGACGCAAATGTTTATTACAAAAATTTGGATAAATTAATACGGTAAAATTACTTATATTGCCTTAAAATTTTTACATGTTGCAAATTTAGTTAAAAGTTGATGAAAGATTTTTAAATTGTAACTAATTACACTATTTTTTAAACGTTTTATATTAGCTTTTTGGCATACAGTTATTTTTTTATCACCATATTATCATTGGCCAAATTTTAGCTAGAACTCTTAGGAAGCACTTTTAAAAGATAGATTTTGTAATCTATTAAATTGTACATTATTGAGTAGTGAATGTTTTGTATAGATGATAATCTATTCAATGTCACGAATAAAAGTTATGTACATTGAATCAGTAAACATTATAACAATATCTTGTTGATTGATTGAATAAAATAGTAGCTCCAATAACACTTTTACACTATTTTATTTCCTCATCAGCGTTTCCAACTAATTACTTGTATAATAGACAACTCTTATGGATTCGTCCAGTTAAAAAACATCAGAGTTAATTATTATTTGTTTTGTTAGTCCCCTTTTACATCTACATCATCTTCCAGTTTATCGAGACCCGATACTGATGGCGCGATATCACATAAAACCATCATGGTATGTGAACTCATTATCGAAACAAACATCATTCTTATCGGAGATCAAGCGATATTTCTAGATATTTCCAAAATTGCTGACAAAAGAAGATCGTTTCGATACCATTTTGGTTATTTAAAACGTTTCGATCAACTTATGTTTCGAAACATTTGATGAATGTTGGACTTTGACTCAGAAGAAGAGTGCTTTTAATGAACAATAATAAAAAATCAAAACTAACACGCTTTGTTTTTTTTTTTTAATCTAATCTATTGGGATATAGGACAGAGTGTGTATATAGATCCTTCATGTTTAGATATCATCTTACAATTACATCACTTAAAAACATACTAAAATAACTAATGTAGCAACTAAAAACCTAGTAGATCTTTTTAATGACATGTATAATAACTTCCTAATAAATTCCCTTACTACAGCTTTTATATAATATTGTAGCCTTTCCGCAATACATTTACGAATTTTGTATATTGACTTATGTTTTTCATAGGTTGATCAGTTTTTTGAATTTGTAACAAACATGTCTAAAAGTTATCGTACCAAAAATGTACTCATAACAATGGGTGAAGATTTTCATTATCAAAATGCCAATTCATGGTATAAAAATTTGGATAAATTGATTAAGTGAGTAGTAATATTATAGACAGCTGCTTTCATCAACTTATAAATAGTTACGTACAAAAACTTAGTTGCTTAAATTATTTTCATTTTTTTTTTTTTAGATATGCTAATGAACGTCAAATTAATGGGTCTGAAATCAATCTTTTATATTCCACACCTTCGTGCTATCTTAAGTCTTTACATGATGCTGGTATAACGTGGCCAACAAAGGATGATGATTTCTTTCCCTATGCGTCAGATCCACATGCTTACTGGACTGGTTATTTTACTTCACGTCCAACACTGAAACGCTATGAACGTGTGGGAAATCAATTTTTGCAAGTTTGCAAACAACTAACATCTTTAGCACCACGAGAAAATCCATATTTTTTGCCACATCTCTCATTTTTCCGCGAAACAATGGGTATAATGCAACATCATGATGCTGTAACAGGCACCGAGAAACAAAAGGTTGCCTACGACTATGCAAGACGTTTAAATGTTGCTTTACGCGCTTGTGGAAGCAACACCAAAGATATACTTAACCATTTAACATCTGGAGAAACCCCACAAACAGGCATACCAGACACTAAAAAGCATGACTATAAATTTGAATTCAAAACTTGTGACCTATTGAATATTAGTAGTTGCCTCATTTCGGAAACTAGTGACCGTTTTATACTTACACTTTATAATCCACTTGCACATTCTACTTTTGAATATGTCAGGGTACCAGTATCAACTTTAGATTACATTGTCAAGGACTATAGAGGTTACTTGTTTTTTAATCATTTATATAATTTTCAAATGTTTATATATTATTTTGTTGCAGATGTTACTTTGGAAACGGAAATATTGCCTATTCCGGAAACAATACAAAACATAACGTTCCGTAACTCCCGTGCAAAATATGAACTCATCTTCCTAGCCAGTGAATTACCACCTTTTGGATATAAGTCTTATTACATTATGAAAACAAACAAGCATCGCTTGGAACCAATACCCGATGCAGACAACTTATCAAGTTTTGTTAGCATTGGAAATGAAGTATGTATAAAATAGATTTTTAATAGCGATACAGTCGTATACGTATACTCTCTAAGTGACTAGTAATTTTAAAATATATAGGAAATTTGAAAAATAAAAACACGTATACAGGTAGTACTACACCTGAACCTTATTAGTCCATTATAATGTGACTAATCAACAGAGACCTCAACTATTTGTTAGTTATAATACCATTTTAAGACTATAAGAAACTGTAGCATATTTTTAATCGTTGTGCTGGATACGTTCGAAAGAGGGCTAAGGGAGGGAGGGAGAGGGAGAACTAAACATTAGCAGATGTGCACCACTCTTTTTTTCTTTTTTCTTCTTTAAGTCAACTCTTATTCTAAGTACATGTTTACCAAATAGCCAGCCAATGGTTGTCCAAGCTACCATCTTATATTAAATCCCACCCACGTAATCTATTCCTTAACCCTCTCATTTATTTATTTGAAAGTATTACATGGAATTTGTTTTTATAATATATTTTTTTTAATAAGTACATGTAGTTTAATTTCACCTTAACTTAAATCCATTATTTTGTTGTATATTTATATATATGTATATATAATTATAGTTATATATATTATAATAACATAGTATATTATTTTATGTTATATTAATATTTAAATAAATTTTATTTAAATATTTTTTTATATATATATATTTATATATTTAATCATATTTCTATAACCACTTCATTTAAATAATTTTTGGGTTGTCTTATATTAATAGAAAATACGTTTAACTTTTGACACGAACGGCTTCTTATCTGCAATAACAACAAAAGAAATGACACGTATTGTCAATCAAGAATTTTTGTATTACGAGGGTGCTATTGGCAATAATCGCGAATTCCGTAATCGCTCCTCAGGCGCATATATATTCCGACCCAAAACTGATAATGTTAAGCTTGTGACAACAGGTCCCAAAATAAAAGTATATCGTGGAAATTTGGTAGAGGAAGTTCACCAAATTTTTAATGAATGGATAAGTCAAGTTGTACGCGTTTACCGCAAACATGGCTACGCAGAATTTGAATGGATGGTTGGACCGATACCCATTGATGACGGTGTTGGCAAAGAAATTATTACAAGATTCAACTCTGATATACAATCTGAAGGTATATTTTATACCGATTCGAATGGTCGTGAAATGTTAAAACGTTTACGTGATCATCGTGATACGTGGCGTGTTAAATTATTGGAGCATACGGCTGGCAATTATTATCCTATAACAACAAAAATAGCATTGGAAGATGAAAATGCACGTTTGGCTATATTGACTGATCGTGCTCAAGGTGGCAGTTCAATGGGTGATGGTTCTTTAGAATTGATGATTCATCGTCGTTTATTACACGATGATGCTTTTGGCGTGGACGAATCACTTAACGAAACAGCATTTGGACAAGGTTTAGTTGCGCGTGGTACCCATTATTTAATATTGGGTAATTCACAATTGGATCAAAGTCCAACGACACAGTTACTGGAACGTTTTACACAGTTGGAAAAATTGTTACCAACATGGAAATTTTTCAGTGATGCAACGAATAGTTCCTACGATGACTGGCGTTTAAATTACACAAACATAGTAAGTATAATATGATTATTTTGGAATATTAAATATTTAATGCGTTTTTTTTTTTGTAGTTTTCTGGTATAAGTCTTTCATTACCGCGGAACATACATATTATGTCATTCGAGCCCTGGCATGAAAATGAAATTCTAATACGTTTTGAGCATATTTTAGAAAAAGATGAAGATCCTGAATATTCAAAAACGGTGCAATTTAATTTGAAAGACGTATTACGTGGTTTTAATATTGTCGATATACGTGAGACTACGTTGGACGGTAATGCATGGCTGGATGATAATCGAAGAATGGAATTCGTGCCTGATCCAATTGAAGAGTTATATGACAATTATGCTCTTTATTACAAATCATCAGATTATGTGCAGCTGCTGCGAGCTGATAAACCATTATTAGATGCAAAGTACTTTGAAGAACTTTTACCTGTTGATGGTTTGGGTGCGGAAAGTAATCGTCTTAAACGTGAACATGGAAAAAACATGGAATTAAATCGTTTACGTGCTGAGAAATTAAAGAAGTTCAAGCCATCAATTGCAAATCTTCCATTGCAAGAAGATGATGATACTAAATTCATTATTGAGCTTAGTCCAATGGAAATTCATACATATGTACTAACACTTGCAAAGCACATATAACTATTTTAATATAAATAAATCAATTTTAGAGGTATAGTGTCTTTTTATAAATAAATATTTAATGATTTAAAAGTTATTGTATTTTTGTTTACCATTACCTTCGATTTTCGATTGTGTATATAAAAGGCTTATTAGTTTTTCAGTCAGAAGAATGCTGATTACTATATATACTATATTTAACCGTGCCGGAAATCGATTATACGCATTCCATAGCTATATTATAAAAACTGATTTCCTACATTGTTAACAAGGTATTTAATTTAGTTAATAAAAACGATTTTCAAAACAACATTAGTTTTGCCGTAACTAGTAACCGTAATATTATTATATCCAAAACCGTTAAATAATCGTGTGATTACCTGATAAGATCAAGGTTTTTTCGGTTTTATGAATATAACTATTAACAAGTAAACCTACCACTAAGATTGTAAAAACTAGCTGGAGAAACTGCTGAAGTTTTATAAAGTTAAAGGGTTTTATCGATGCCTATTTTCCTGAAGAAAATGTTACTATTAACATATTTGCCTATCTTAAAATCATTGGTAAAAATCTTTATATTTATCAATACCAGGACAAGACCTAATAAATTTTTATCGAATGAATATGAATAGCTACATCAGATTCAAAGTTTAAATGAGAGTAAATTTAATTTAATGATTCACTACTTGAATAAGAAATAGTGGATAAAAATATGTCATTGTATAAACACAAGATTTGCATGTCAGAGACATAAGGTTTCATGCAAATGTGCGCTAAAATTGATCATTTTTTTAGTGGGAGTTTGAAAATTGAAGATAGAATACCCGTGGTTCAAGATCTAATTATATTTGTATGTTCTACAATATGGACATCATCTATTTAATGTCATGTGCGCAGACATGGCGAATGTATGTTATGCAGACAGTCAAATCGCAACTGATATATTCATACCGTTACTACTATTTAAGTACTTTTTAGTTAAGTTAAATTTTAACATTTCCATATATATTCCTACAAAAATATACAAATTTGTTTCTAAAGAGCTAAAATAATAAGTTTTATTAGTGAGCAACGCTGTTTTGACTAATGTGAAGAGGTACAGAAAACCTGGTCACCGTATATATTAAATTAAATCCTTTAATTCCTAGAAGGAGCATAAGGCCGCAACAAAGATCTTCCACTTGTTGGCTAATAGCTTCAATTCTCTCCAGCTTTTCCGCATATATGATGTTTCCACATCAATTTGCCTTCACCAATTGTGTACAGGTCTGCCCCTTCTGCTGCTACCCATCGGGTTCCACCGTGACCTAAGTTTCAATATATTGTTCTTAATCTTTTCACATCAGTGTCAAAGTTTAAATCTCAAACCCTTGATCTTTTCACATCAGTGTCAAAGTTTGAATATCAAACCCAAACTAGATATTTTATACTGTGGGAGAATAAATTACATTAGTGTTTTGACAGTTAAATTTAATTTTGTAAATAATATCAATATTGTCTTTTTCTTAATACACTAGATACAAAAAGTGAGTGAACTCCTTCCATTACATATAAACCAGCTTGTGTTCCAAGCTTAAGGGCAATTACCTGTAATAAGCGAAAGTAGAGTACATAGGTCTCATCATTTCAACTTAGTACATTTGGAATATAAGTATATCATTAAGTTAGTAATGAGTTTAGTATAAGTATCTGTAATATATGTAATATATATCCAATATTCTCGTTCTGCTGAAATCTTTTTGGAAAGCATTACATCCAACAGTAAATATTATCGTGTGGAGAGATTATGACAACAAACAGTTATTTTTTAAAATATATTTAATTATTTTAATAAATATTTATGAGTGCGAGTTATTGGATAGAATCAAAAAAGATAATATAAAGACCTATTTAGTCATTGTCTGTTGTGAACGTATACCACGTTGCTCAGTAATTTTAAATTGTAGTAATACAACCAAATATGTGGCCATAAAGGAGACATTCTGTAATAAAATTCAATATAATTATTAATTTAGGTTTAGGACTTAAGTAGCATTACCGATGTGATTAATTCTCTGTTGATATTTGCGTAACCATCTAAATTCATTATAGGTGGATTTTTTGCAATGGCGTCTAAAAACATTCGTACTTCCTTTTGTGTCGCACTGTCAACGGCTGTCAAATTCACATTTAATAATTTTGTTTGAAAATCTAAACCCACTTTCTGTGAAGCATAATGAGCTTCATTGCATATAATGTAAAGTAAGCCCATACAATAGAAAACGATAACGAATAGTCCAACCTCTTTGTATGTCGCGCCATGATCTATAATTTCGCTTAAGGATCCGTAAGTTGCTATGATTGTAGTAAAGAATATAACCAAGCAATACATGCCATACATATTTGAATAAGCCCGACCTACGAAAAAATTAGTGCACAAAAATGTGGGTTTGAAGAGGTGTATTTTTTGTTATATGCCGTGCAAAAAATTAGTAAGTCTCTTGTTAAAAATTCTACAGCAATACGTTATACAACACACTATCCTATTTTACAACAGTTCAGTTGTAAAGTGTATTGTGTTAAAAAAAATTATAAACTTTCTTATACAAGAAATTAATTATGTAGTCCGCTGTGGAAGAGGCTTCATTTCTCATGTAAGAGAATAGTTATAAAGTAACTTTATCTATAATATGTTAGTTATATATATATATATATATATAATATATATATATATATAATATATATATATATATAAGGATGTCTATACCCTCTCCAATTGCGCTGAAGCTTTAAGCGATCTTACGTGTATTATTTAAATAAAAAAATAACAAAAAATCAATAGTTTTATATAGTAAACTTTTAATTTATATAAATTTTTTAATTTTTTAATATATTTAAAAAAAAAGTCTAATGTCAATACGTTTTATTCAGACTTTAAATAGAGACTTACTGTTATATTGCCAAAAAGTATACCTGAATTAGAATTGAACTTAAGAAAACTATTACCTAATTGTTGCATCATATGACTTAAATCCACCCAAAGATGTCTATATTCCGTCAATTTTTGTGCAGGCTTATCACCTTTAAGCGTTTGCTGAAGTGAATTTGACAGTGCAAGACTAGCGGTACCGAAAGCATTGCAATTGATGTACCTAGTTAATATATCAAGACATATTAAAAAATCGTTAAAGAAGTATATACTATTTGATAAATATCACTATACGATCAATCTATTTACAATTCGTTATAAAGACTATGTTAATTGTGACACTTTTTCGATTTAGAGTCCAAAATATATAATTATACTGCAATTCGCTATTGACCTTCCCCTTATATGACACTATTGTATTTTGCTTTAAAATAATTGAGTCTTTACTGTGGATTTCTCTTTGTTATAAACTTTTTCTGAAACTGTATAATCCGTATAGCAAGGTATAAATATATTTAATAAATACTTAACATATTGCAGATCTTTTTTTTCTATCTGTTACTTATTGTCATTATAAATATTATGAATGTTATGATTAATGGTTGTCAAAGACATATATCCAAATAATTAATACTCTCAAAAATTTCTATAATGAATTGATAACCAAAATATATGGATATGCATATGGATATGCAATTTAGTTTCTTTGTGGGTTTTGTTTTATTCTACAGCAAGTAAATTTGTTAATGAACTTTTACTTTTCGGAGTTGACGAAAGTCAAGTAAGGTTCTGGGTCAGTTGGCACTCACTCTAAACACTCACCATAAGCTTTAAATTTGACAGGGTACGAGTTCAACCCTTGGTACATGCAGTCTCAAAAAATTATTTAGGAATAATTAAATAAAAGAAATAATTTTAAGACTACTGATAATGGGTATTTAACAATACTCGAAACAGCTGTATGGGCAGCCAAAAAATTCAATTAATTAAAAATACTAAAAATAAATTTTTGTTGTTGCAATTCATCTCTCTTATCTTCTTTTCGATTGGAAACAATAGACCGCTTCGTCAAAACGGACGTTAAAAATCAATTTAAATAACTTAAATCAATGGATAAAATTTCATTGGAATGAATGTTAGGTGATTAAGAATCCAATTAAACCTTATCAGATTACTAAAAAGAAGAGTGGGGTTTTTATTTAAAACTATTGAATTTTAATTAATGGTCAGCCCTTTTTAGGCAGGAAGCCGTGGAAAGAAGTGCAAGATTCCTTGCTAAGGGGTTAACATGTTCTGTCAGCCTTTTATTGTGTTTTTTTCTTATATTAACAAATTCAGCTTTAACTAACGGAATTTGTAGAATTTGGTAGATACTTTCATTCATTTTATTTTCAATATCATTGGATATTTTCAATATTTGAAGCACTAGCATTACCAAATAACTGGATACCATAAGTCCATATTAGTTTTGTGATGCTAAGAGTACTTTACACTCTAGGTACAGGGAGGATCTAACTTAGAGGCTTGGAGCTTCATTTGTATTTTTTTGGCTTCAATATGCTTGCGCCAAGTTAGTCGCCTGTCTAGATGAATACCTAAGTACGTTATATTATCTGCTTGTGTTATAGGAATATTATTAAGTAATTAAGTAATTGTTGGAGATATACTCCGATTGTCTAATTATTCAAAAACTTTTCAACTACAATAACACAAAGAGATCGAACTCAAATTAAAATATATTTAGTTGATTTTGACAATTATCTGGTTTTCTGCCATTGATTTAAATTAGATGCGTATTTTTGCCTTGCAATCTAACTTATAGCAACGCCGATTTCAATTATCCGACACGTTCAATTGACAACGAGATAAAGATTTATTTGAAGTTCGCTTCAAAGACCCATTAAAAGAATTAATTGTAGTTTTCAAAAAATTAGGGTTTTTTTATGTTTATGCTGTTTCTATAGAGAACAATTTGTATATTTAATAATGTGTATTTTTAGTAATAATAATTTCGGTTAATATTTAGAGCGGACTCTTATCACTTGTGATTATTTTCGCTTACTATACCATGGAATCATATCTCACGTTTATGCAGCATTTATATAGAATATTACGTATAACGAATAACTTATATCTTCGACACCACATATTTTGGTTAGTAATGAAAATATATTAGTTAATAGAACTAAGGAATCGTACTCACATTAATGCGAATATCGAATTTCGAATAACATTTATTTTCAATATTTTCGATAAGTTAATATTGGCAATAGGTTCCTCATTACTTGGGATTGCTTTTATATGAAACAAGGAATTATATTCCAGATTAATGCCATTTTGGTAAAGAACATGTTGTATATTTAATAATCTATATTTTCAATACGATTTGTTTCAAATAAAAGAGAAAATATTTTCGGATATTTTAATTTGGATCTAGGAATCATTTCTTATGTTGATGTCGCTTTTATAAAGAACACTTTTTATGATAATAATATAGTTTGAAGATTTGTTCGCTTACGTTCTACTTACCATAAACTGCAAAAACAATTAAGCATTGCTATTATTGGATAATATGCGAAAGTGTACCACAATTCGAAATCAGGTTGTAGGAAATACTGTGACAGATTCACTACAATGCTGAGTCCCCAAGAAAATATACAAAGTGCCCATGTCAACGGATATAAATTTGGAAAAACTATTGCTGAACCAGTAACTTTAAGAAACTTTAGTTGATAATTAGTCCACATATTTTTAAAAATAGCCACTTGCGGTCCATGTCGCCAACTAGCAATCGGCAAAAGAAAATTCGTAAAAAGCAGGCTAATGAATATGACATTGTAAATGGCTTCATCGAAACGCCGCTCAGAATTGTTAACAAATTTTTTAACACGTTCTCTTAAAACCAAAACCACAACAGTTGTTTGTATTGAATACATGAATAGAGCCCAAAAGAATTGTTTCGATGTCCAAGAGTAACCAGTTCGCGGTAAGTTTGTTCCAGTAGGATTTCGATGTATCGGCATAACTCCCATAATTTGAAATAATACTAAAAGACTCTTAGTAGTATGATAAAAGGAGTCATGTTTATCCAATAGATCTGGATCATCTACGACACTTTGTTTCCGTACATAATAATCAGCTAGATTAGCATCGTTATTATTGGCTAATACATCCATTTTTTCTTTATAACGTTGTTCATCCTCTAAAAATTGCTTCTGATTCGGATTAAGTACGGGAATTATTTTAGTTGGTGGTGTCATGCCGCTATTTGATGCCCAAAATGCCATGTTTGTAGGGAGTGTTTAAATACTACTTATAGAATATTATTTTACGAAATTGAGTTACCGAGCACTGCACACTTTGAAATATGAAATTCGATTGCACCTTTGTATTGCAGGATATCGCAAATGTCCTTTTGATTTTGTATATATAAAATCGATTAATGTTTCGATTAGCAAAGTTTATATTTGTTCACTTTGGAATGTTTAATGACAAAAACTGGGCGGGTAAATGAATTGTTTATTTATTCTAAAGGTGTAAATGGAAATATTTTTTTAGTCATTACCATTGAGCTGTGAAATTAATAAGGACTTCACAAAAAGAAATAACAAAAGTATAAACTTAATATTACAATTCGTTTGTTAATCTACTTCTTTCTATTTATTTTAAATTGAATTCATAAACAAGTTAGCTCTATTTACGTAGTTTGTATTGTGTAAATTATTGAATAATAAATAAACTTTTATAGTTTTAAAATATTAACGAGCAATTTTGCAATGCAAACTTAAGTTAAGTTACACTTAAGTTTTCTATATTGAGCAATAAACCGTCACTCAAATATGACTTCAACTTTTAATGGAAGCATATGTATGTGCATATGGACACATATTGCGACATACGTCACAATAGTTTTAAGTCTTCCATAGACAAATTATGGTATAAAAATTTATTTCCTTAAATGGATGAACTTATTTTTATTGAGTATGTATATGTATGCTTCAGTGTATATTTATATTAATAATTTAAACTTTTGGTTGTATTCCATAAAAAATTGAACACTATGTAATTTTAATACGTTGTTTTTTATTCCTTAGATTACGTATTTAATAATGCAATTATATAGTCCAGTGTTAAGATTAAACAACATGAATACATTGATTCAGTATTTTTAGTGCCTCCTCTATTATTTTCTTCTTCGCTCTCTATCCACTGGTTATCACATCCAAGCCCGCATTCCGAGTGAAATGTAAACCAAATCACCACCTCTCGAAACCACTGCCATTATCCTTAAGGACATACTATTATTTAGTTCAAAATTGTACTACATAACATCTTTAATGCGTTTTTATATGTGAAACATTGTAAATTACATAAACATTTTTATAGTTTCCCGAAATTTTGCTTTTTGTAACGATTTGGAGGGTAATGACTTGGGCATTGCCCTGTCCAAAATTGTCGGTATCCAATGTATATTATAAACATAATATATATGTTTTAAATATATGATTCCATAAAATTCATAATAATGAGGTTAGTATATACGCATGGGACGAAACTATTGCATCCAGGGGTTCCTAAGAAATTGCTTCTAGTTGCTCGAAGCATTTAGATAATGTAACCACGCAACAACGTGTAATAGCCTGCAGCGATATATATACTGGACTAAATGGAAATTTAAATCGTCATTAATGCGGTTGTAAATTGTTCAGTTCCCCTAAAACGCCATACAAATTATCGACCATCAATTTTTATATTCTGGACACTCTTATTTACCAAATGATGACGATTTTGGAACTATCGAGATAATTATAAGAAAAAAAGATTTATTCTATGTCCATAAAGACTATTATACTATCAGAAATCAGTGCCAAAAATACAAAGGATTTATTTCGAATAAAATGAAACAAGCTGATATAATTTCTACCAAACCAAGATGCCGTAGAAGGTGCAATTATAAAAAGGCGTAAAAATATCAGTAATACTATGTTGAGCCTTTTCCGAGTTTGTGCATCTGGGCACTTTTTCTCTTTGATAGCTGGAGAGTTTCTGTAGAGTCCCATACATCTCACTCACTAATTTATGTATTCCCCATAAGCTTCGTGATTATTCAATGACAGATATAAAATCTGCATACCGCTTCGTGCGGTTAGTGATTGCTCTGACATTAGTAAGTAGAACAGCCTGTCGGTTTTTACGAATAGCTTCAGAGCTCTGTCCCTTATGTTTTTTTGACAGGATCTATTTTAAGCTCTCTTAACATGTCATTTGTACGGATGTACCATGGCTCTCGGAGAGCCTGACTTTAAGCAACTTGTAGCTTCTGAATAGTAGAGTCGACAGCTTTGCTATACGCAACACATCCATAAAGCAGTGCTGTTCTAATTATCTGGCTGTAGATCAGCTTTCTGTTCATCACGCTAAGGTTGTTGTGTTTGAAAAGTGGTTGTAAGCAATGCATTGTTTTTGCGCAATTACTTCTTTTGACTTGTATGTGTTTGTGCCAAGTGAGCGGCTTATGAGTAATTAATAAAACTTTATAAGTACAATTAGAAATTAAAAATAAGCTATAATAAAGCACTATTAATAAGTAGAACTGTACTGATGTGTTCTATGTACAAATTGCCATAAGCTATTAAAAACGTAATATGAAAATTTTAATATATATTCTTCTCGAATAAGCTGGAATTTTTCTTCGTGATGTAACTTTCCTTAACGAGTAACTATGTTTAAAATATATTTACATATATGGTTATAAAACTTAAGCAGTATTAAAAGCGATTTAAATAATTTAATGTAGTTTAAATAATTGTTTTTCAAAACTAAACAAAAGTAATTAAAGAATATCAAATATATATATGAACTATATAAAGAAGTTTTTCGAACAGTAGTGAAATACAACAACAAAATATAATTTTATATTATTTTAATTAATTGAACTTTTGACTGACTTTATTATACTGTATACATATATAAATATATATATATATATATCTTATATAATTATGACTAGTATATATATGTTATTTATATTTTTATATAAATGTACAAATTAACTCAATGTAACTAAATCTACTCAATAATTATTAACGAAATAAATCATAGCAAAACAAAAAAATATAATTGAATTTATTTTTTTTTTTAATGTTTTAAATAAATGAATTTATATTTTAAATAAATAAATTATATATTTATTTTTTAATCAATTTTTATTTGTTTTTGCACACCTGTTTATAATGAAATTTATTCTGAGAACAAGAATTTTATCCAAAATTAAATCGAATCCCAAACATCAATCTCGGTTCAGTCATGACTTCTAGGGAATTTATGTTTTCCAGAATAAGTCGTTAGAATTCGGGATGTGAAAAAGTCTTTGAAGTCAGAATTAGTTCTATGTATATTTAATACATATGTTATTATGTTATTAAATAATCATTTATAGTAAAAAAAAACTAATTAAAATTCTATTAAATGAAAACACTGAATTTCTTTTTTGTACAACAAATTCTTTATTATAATTAGTAACACTTTAAAAAATATTAATGAAAAAATTGTATTAGTGAATTAGCTTATAAGTATATATATTTTAATAATATTTTTGAAGTAAATGCTATTTATTAATTTTAATAATATATATTGTGTATAAATTTTAATTTTATAATAAATTTATTTTTTTATTGGTATTATATGTATACTTTATATAACATTTTAATTTATTTAATTTTATTATGTTAATATTATACATAATAAATTTTTATAGGTATTTCAATTTTTATATGATATTTATTATTTTTCATTTAAAATTAATTTAGTAAAAAAATTGATGAATATTAACTATATGACTAAATTAACACTCGAATAAATTATATATATAGATTTTTTTAAATAAATAGATGAAATAAATATATTTAAGGTTTTGTTTCTTTATACAAATAAGTATAAATGACAATTAAAACATTAGTTTTATATATATAGAAAATCAAAACTAAATCTATTATAAAATAAAAAAATTTCGTAGAAGTGATTTTGTAAAAGATTAAATTTTGTATGAACTTTATAAATTCAGAATTTTATGTAAATTTTTATTATAATAATTTCATATCATAAAATTGGATAAAGTTTATTTAAACAAATATTCGCAATTTTTTTTATAACTTATAAGCATATTATAAAAATAATATATAGATAAAATATGCATCACGTAGGCAATAAATTTAATTAAATAAAAAAAAATTTTATATTATTTTATTTTTATAATATAATTAAAACTTTAGATTATTATTATGATTATATAGTTATAATTTTGTATTATTATTATAATTATTAGTTTATTATTATAAATATATTATTGTAATATAATTACTATTTTATTATTGTTATTATTATAATAATTATAACTTGCGAACATTAGTGTATTTAAGTAAATGTAGTTTATTTTTCAAAAAAATATAAAAAAATAGTTGTTAAAATATTAAATAATATTACTATTATATTAATGGAGAAATAATAAACGAAGTAAGGACATTTTTTTAATTCATTCCATAAATGGAAATATATTTTATATTTTCTTCATAAAATATATATACATATATATTAATATATATATATATAGATATATATATAAATAATTTTTGTCTTTTTTGTATTGATAACTGTTTCAGGTGTTGAAATAACCTATTAAAAAATTAATTAAAACACTTATATCATAATGCTTTTACAGAATGTTTTACAGGCATTTATATTTGGGACAGAAACGAGAAGTAAAGGCATTGCGACCTGATAACAAATTTTTTGTGAGTATGTTATAAATGTATTGTTGTTTATTTTTGAAAAATTTTTTTATAAAATTATTATTAAATTAAAATTTAATTTTTTACTCTTTCATAGCTGGGGAGTTTCTACAGAGTCCCACCCATCTCACTGACTAATTTGAGTATTCCTCATAATCTTCGTGATTATTCAATGACTGATCTAAGATCTACGTACCGCTACGGTTAGTGATTACTCTGAGATTAGATAGCGCTAAGTAGGACAGCCTGTCGCTTTTCGCATATAGCTTCAGAGCTCTGTCCCTTATGTATTTTTTGACCTGATCTATTTTAAGGTCTCTTAACATGTCACTCCTGTGAATGTACCATGTCACTTTGAAGAATCTTCGGAGAGTCTGACTTTGAGCAACTTGTAGCTTCTGGATAGTAGAGTCGACAGCTTTGCTATACGCGACACACCCAAATCTTTTTGTGCTAATAAAATAAGATTTTCTTTGTTTTAGCACTTTTTGTAGTTTAACAAATTTTTTAAAAATTGTTTTAATCAAATTAAAGTGATTAATTAATCAATAACCATTTATTGTAATTATTTTAACTTTGATTTTGTTTTAAAATTTTTTCAATGAAAATTGGTTAGTACACATTTTTTTTAAATCATTTTTTATAATATAACAAAAATATTAAAATTTTGTTTTCACTTTTTTTTAAACTAATAGTAGCGTCTTATTACTATTAAGATGTGATCGTCATTCATTTATTTAAAATTGTTTTATATCAATTTGTTAATACATAAATGCATTAACATACTTAAATACAGAAATGTTCAAATTTATTTTTTTATTAGTATCAAAAAAAACAAGTAAAAGTTTTAATATTTAATTACGATAAAGCAATATTAATATTAATGTATATATAAAACAATAATTTAATAAGTATTTTATTATATCAATAATTGTGAAATTATGTGTTTTTTTAAAAATTAAAATTTTATTCTTAATCATTTAAAAAAAAATTAATTGCACGCAACTAAATCGCTCGATATTAAACTACAGAATTTATCATATGGAATTTTGTCATTCAACTTAAAAGTACTTTAGAATGTTTTAGAAATAAGTTAATAATGTAAGGAGGAGTTTTATTTTTAATGTCAAACATTTGATTTACAAATATTTTTTTGTGAAAACAATTTTTGTTTTATAAAATCAAAATACAATAATTTAATTATAATATATATCAATAAAGTTTTAAATAATTTATATAATACCTATAAAGGATAATGTTATTCGAAATAATTTTTAAATTTTTTATTTATTTATATTTTTATTTATTAATATTTAATTTTTTAATTTATTATTTATTTATTAATATATTATTTATTTATTAATTCATTATCTATTAATATATTATTTATTTATGAATTTATTATTTATTTATTAATATATTATTTATTTATTAATTCACAATTTATTTAATTATTTATTATTAATTTTATTTATAGAATAAGACTATTATTTATTTAGTATTTTGTTTTCTTCTACTTTAATGAGAACTTAATATAATTTTTTTTTCATATTTTTAGTGAATTAAGCAGCGCCACAAGAGTAACAACAGTTCTGCTGGTAATATTCATAGCTGCATAGCTTTGCCTTCACCGCCCATTGACAGTTCGAGAACTCGTCAGAACAAGAGGCTGCAACATCGTTTTGAAAAAGTTCCAAGTGTGTTTCTTAAAAAAAAAAAACAATGGATATATGTTATTTATAAATATACATTTAAATATATTTTAATATTCATAGATATATACAGTATATATATATACGCCCAAAAAAACCAAAATAAATATTCGAGGGAGTCCATTTCCAATATTAACAGATATACTGAAGTCTCCAAAAATGTCTATTCAAAAACTAGTCGTTGGTACTTGCAAAAAAATTTGTTATAGAAAGGTCTTCGTTATAGAGAGGTTTTCGTTATAGTGAGGTTTTCGTAATGGAGAGGTTAAACAAATTTATTTTGTTTGCCTTTTTTTTTTGCATTTTATTGCGAATTATATATGTATGTATTTATTTTAAAAATATACTTAATTCATATTTATTCAAATAAACATATATAATATTAAATATATTAATAATTTATTGGTTTGTATTAAAAAAAATTATTTTTATTAATAACTTTAATTTAATTTAATAATTAAATTTATTACTATTTATAATTTATGCGTCCAGAAGAAATAGGTTTTTAGGAAGATACTTCTGTGGCAGTCTATCAGTCTGTTCATCGCTGAAGATGAGAGACCTATTAAATAATCTAAATTCGATGGTATCGATTTAGTCTCTAATTTTCTATGCTAGGGGTTCCTGCGAGGAATGTGGCAGCAAAACGGCGAAAAATCGCTAATTGAGATACATGGAAGTTATCTAATGGCTTGCCACTGAATCCAACCATCCAACCATATATAATTTAAATTTTTATAATTTATTGTTTTATTTAACACGAAAAAAGGTCGTTATTTTTGCTTGTTTGGATATTTTAACTTTTTCCTTGTCTATAACTCTTCCAATAAGTAAATAAACTCAAAAATTTCTAAACCTCTCTAAAAATTCTCTAGGTCTCATATTAAAATCATTAATTCTATATTAATTGCGTTTTTTAAAAGATTAATGCCAGTAGCATTGTCGGTACATTGACTAAATGTATATGTAATGTCAATTTTAAATTTGCTGATTAATAACTTACTTTAGCCATTGAAATGATAGCACTGACATTATCCGAGAAAATGTAAATAGTCCGATCACATACAATTTATTCGAAGTGTCCTATAATTTTCTTTTTTTTTCGTTTTTGGTGTATTATTTTTTTCACAATCTATTTATTTTAATTTTAAAAAATCTAATCTAATAAATCTAATAAAATCTAATAAAATCTAAATCTAATAAAATGTTTTCTTAAATTAACGTATTTAATTGAGCGATTCGTAAACAGCGATTATATTACGTTATGTATAAAGAACTTTTAGTAGATTATCCCAGATCATTTTTTGAGTTTCAAGTATAATTATAAAACCCCAGAAAAACTGTAGAAAACAAAAGTGGCGTTCTTTTGAAGAATATTTAAGGTATCAAACGGAATATATGACTATAGCTACTAAAACTCAAACTGATTATGAAACAAAGTATCTTTTTGCTAGACTATGTTTTAACACAATGTAATATTGAGAAGAGATGTCTAACCTGTATGTTATTTTTTGGATTTTTTTTATCAAGGAATAACCTCTTACTCTTTTTATATACTCTTTTATATACATTACACTGTTTTTATACAATTTTAAAACTGTTTTTGTGATATATTAAATATATTATATTTTTACCATAAATACCTTCACATTTTTGTGTGTTGCAGCTGCGATATATCGGTTCTCTTAAAGAATAACGACATTTGGTAGACTCATGCAGCACATTTTCCTTTTCATCATATTCCAGACATTTTACAGAACGTCTCTGTGTGCCACCATCACAAGATTTCGAACACTAAAGAAAACCAAAATGTTTAAGTTTATAAAAAATTTTGCTTAATGTAATAAATGTTAAATATAATAAAAATATTTTGCATACATCAGTCCATTCGGAATAATGCCATCTTGGAGCGCAGTACTCGACTTCTTCATGAAGACACTTTTCCGTCGTTTGAGGTTTTAAATCAGATTTGCAATCTTCATCATCGACAATTAGTTGATTTTGTATGCAGAGCACTTGACGCGTACGTAACAAATTAAAGCAATTGCCATTACAAGTTGACCAGGGACCAGCAAACCAATCGCCAAATTCGCAAGTACGTTCACGTTCACATGAACGCGATATATCAGGTGTGGTCCGTGAATCGCAACGCTCAGAATTCTGTTTTGAGCGATCACAGAATATTGTACGATATTCCACACCCGTACCGCACTCAGCAGAACAGTATTGATTCCAATCAGATAAGAGCCAAACGCCAATTTTATCACGATTACGATTGTTATTTGTACTATTTGCTGTATGTACACGGTAGCGTGCATGAGTTCGTCTACGACTTTTTGGGCAATCGCATGATTTACGCGTTTCCGGTTGCTCTTCCATACAAGCAACACTATCGACATGTATTACAATACCAGAAGCCAACTCTTGTACACAGTTAATGTCGCGCTCACGATAACCTTCACCTTGATGGCAACGACAATCGCTCCAATCATCTAAACGCCAATATGCTGGACATGGTTGTGTATTACAGCGCAGTAAGTTTTCGTTTAAAACTGGTTTTTCGGAATGCATGCAACGTCGTTGTGAGAAGTAACGTACGGGATTATCACGAACACAACGCACGATCGGTGTTTGTGTACCACCACCGCATGACTTAGTGCAAGTGCTAAACCCTACAACTTTCCAATTAAATTTACGACGTCTTGTGGAACGTGAGCTGCTAATTGAATTTTCTTCAGCACCTGATTTTAAAAATGTGTCGCTCTCAAGCGAAAGTTCATACTCTTCCGAATCCGATGTAATGGGTAATAAATATTCATATTTAATGCCTGGATTTGCAGATTTTGTATAAACCTTAAGGAAATAAAATTGTAAACGAATATGTAGTCTTTGAAAAAAATGGTTCTATTAGAAGTTAATTATGATACATTGAGTATTATACTTTAAGAAAAATTATATATAAAAAAAACTAATGGCAGGACGACTGTAATGACATTTGATAAAATGATTATATGAAAAAAATGACTTATAAGTAAGTTGTCACTTACTGTCAGACCTATATACAGACAAATCAAGTATAACTATAAATATGTTATTTTGTTGTTATAATGCTAGGAATAAGTCTGTTATTTGAGTTATTTGAGTAAACGACACTTGATTATAAAAAAGTTTAGGTACGTAGACCCAGTCACTTCGGAAGCCGGAATTGTTATATTGAGTCATATTTCCATTAAAATTAAATTTTAATAATTTATAAAACTTCTATTACTATTATCGCATAATACTAACTAAAATTAATTTTAGTAATCAAGAGTGCTTATTTTTATTTTTAATTTTAATATCTCATCGTATTATTTCTTTGATAATAATGTATTTTACTAACCATTAATTCCACCGCTTCTCTTATAGGACCTGTACATGTTACCCATTCCGTGACTCCTTCGCCATATTCCATACCATCAATGCGATGATAATCAAAAATCGAATCTGCTGCTTCATATGTACCACTATCAGATGCTGCATTATCTCCATTAAAAATATACTTTTGATCGGATGTACGTAGCACTGTAAATATAGATTTACCATTATAACATATGCATATATATATATACATATATATATATATATATATGTTTTATTTTTAATATTAAATATATTTGTTTTAATTTACGACATACCTAACAAATTTATGCTATTCTTAATTTCCGTGATGGAAATGTTAGAAGCACCTGCAGGAATGTTTGTTACATGTACATAAGCATCATCAGGTAAGGGATCCCTTGTGAATAGACCAGTTATCGGACGACAGAGAAGACCACCACAGCTGATAGAGCCACTATTAGCGGAAACACCAGTTATAATGCCGCTGGCATAAACTGCCTGCAATATAGGAATAACAGAAATCAGTATTAAGTTCATTTAGCTTATTATGGCATATGTTTTTTTATTGAAATAATTTATCAAATTAAATATTTAAGGATTGATGTTTTTAAAGAAACTATCAAAGTGGTAAATGCATAATGAACACTCGACTTATAGTCAGTCCACAAATGCAAAACTATCGCAGAAATAATTTTTATAGGTATTAGTTTCATATGCTTAGTTTTATATTGAAACCATAATTTTAGAATGAAATTGATTGCATATGGTGGTATTTCAGTTTCACATAGTTGGTAAGTCCAACTATTATTTAAACCTAATCCCTTACATGTAATATTGATAAGTCTCAATTATAGCTTCTATAAAATCGTTTTTAGGCATTTATCCATTTATTTATTATGGTTTTGGAAGTTGTCAGAGTTAAAACTCAATCAATTAATCATTTAATTATTAAATATTATAATGAATATGCAAAAGTATGTTTAGCAGAATTAGAGTTAACTATTTACTACCAAATATGTATACGATACGATAGGTATGTACACGATTTATTGTGATATCATAAGTAATTTGTTGGCACCTTTCGAACTATTTTCGTTTCAGTTTTTTTTACAAACACTCGTAAGTTATTCAATCTTATGAACTTGCCAAAATTTTTAGATATAACTTAAAGAAAATAGTTCTAAACTTGCCAGAAACTTGCTCGTGTAACTTCTTCGTGTGTACGTAATGGTTTTCAAAGTTCATAAGATATATTCAGGTTTAAAATAGTTTAACGATTGTTAAAAGTAACACTATGACCTATAAGATTATGATTATTTTAGAATAATATTATTATTACAATGTTTGAAATTCTAGTATAAATTACTAGCAATAAATTTAATACTATTAAATATTTTGTTTACAGATATTATTTTTTTTTTTGGTGTTATTTTATTTAAGTTTAATTAATTGAAAAAAAAAACTGAAATCGATAATAAATTTAATAGATTTTATTATAATCTATAGCTTAGAAATCAATGAATCCTTTACAAGCTAACTTACCGTAAGCATCAAAAGCAATTTAAGCGCCATTAAAATACTCAAATTAATTTCCGCTTCAATCAAATAAATTTAAATTTATTTACTTTGTTATTGTAATATAATTTTATTTTGCAATATGAAACTAAAAATTAAATTAATGAAACTAGACAAATTAATTATAATTTAACATATATCTTTTATACTTTGCGGAAATACATATATAAGTTAGACTTGACATTTTATATTGGCGACAATTAATTTAGCGAAGGGAAAATGTATATATATAAATATGTTTCTATAAATGTAAATATATTTATATATATATATATGGTATATAAAGCCACATATTAATCACAATCAGACTATTTGGAGTGGTTCAGCTAATAAATCAAAACTTATGTTTAACTTAATTGGCAATTAATTTCTTTACAAGAAATTGATATATTTGTCTAGCATTTAGTCGTAGTTGTAATAAATAAATCAGTCCCTTGAAAACTTATTTTATTCACTTATTTAAATTAAGTTAAAAATACATTAATAAAATGCCACCAACGTTTATTGTATTTACATAAATATTTTCATGCACTACGCTGTGTGAGTAAGTCAATTTAGTTCAACGCATATTTTATTTGTACCTTACACTATATAATTTAGGTGGTTTTAAACCCTGAGTTTATCGTATATATAAGATAACACAATGAGCGAATAGGCCTTAATGAATCCAATAGGGATTGCCAGTATAACCTAACCTAACCTACAATATATAAAATAACAACAATAAATTGTTCTAAATAATAGAAAATTTTAATAGAGTAACTTAATTTCATATATATTTAATTTATATGTTTATAATAAAAAGATTATATATATTTAAAAAATAATAATATAATGTTTATAAATATTAATATTTAATATAACATAAAGGTTTTTCGAACAGTAGTGAACTGCAACAAGAAAAATTAATTTTATGTTATTTTAATTAATTGAATTTTTGGCTGACCATACAGCTGTTTCAAGTATAGCCAAATACCCATCATCAGTGGTCTTGGAACCACTGAAAATGGGTATTACTTCCATTGTTTTTAGTTGACATTTTCAAAAGTTTTGTTTTTGATAGAACAGTAAATATATGCTTGTAAAATATTATTGAAAAAGCTAGAACGATACAACTCAAGTAGGTGTTGAGTTTGGCTGAGTGGTACTGACTGCGGTTAATACCTAGATTTACGCGGATGGAATGATCAAGTATTTCTTTTTTAATCATTTAGCGTGGAGTTGAGTTTTCACCACCGACTGCTGTGACCCAAAGATCAGTAGAGATATTGTTAGTCCTTGCTCCTTACTAAGGAGGAAGTTATGTCCTAAACACATAACTTCATTTAGAACTGCCGGAAATTCATTAGAATTTCCAATGGGGCGTTAATTTGACGCAATATACCGCTACTGTGTTGAGAGCATCGTGATGTTAGGCCTTTACGGCAGGTAATCACGTAAAAAATTCCAGTTGACGACAATGTATAATATATGACATGTATTTTAGATATTAATATCAGTATATAGCATACCAAATTAAAATAAATAAAGTGGTTTGTATATTAGTTCTCCAAATTCCAACCGATCACAAAAGCTTAAAATTATTTAAAGCCAGGAAGATCCAAACAGATGTTAATTTGAAATAGACCCGATGTAGATCAAAGTGTTTATAAAGTTGAATATCTCGAAGTTAAGATATTCAGTAATTGCAAGTATGAGAAATAAAACACGTTTTTTCAAACAAGCAGCAAAGCCTGTTTTGATCTATGGTTCTGTAGCGTGAATTGAAAAAATTAACAAAATCCTAAGAGGTACACAGTTGCATATGAAAAACGTATATATATATTGTATCATAAATGAAATATTTCATGAAAAAACGAATGTGATAGATTAGTAACTACTGAGAACAAGAAGGTGAGCAAAGAATGGATAAAGTTGAGTTTTATCTTTCACTATAAAGAGAGATAAAAGAAGATATTAATGCCACTATCGATTATGAATTAGAAACAAACATTTTAAATTTTAAAATTATTTGCGGAAATTATATTAGACTTTTCCGTTATGAGAGAAATAATCTATGAGAATCATTCCATATGTTATTAGTTTTAAATATTAAATAATATAATGTGTGTGTTGCATTCATTGAAGCTACGTGCAACTGCTATGTACCGAATGTAGGGTGTTTAAGCAGATGTGATTAGCATAAAGTTGTCGTAAATAAATTTCTTATTCATAATTATTGGTTTAAATTTTAATTTTTTTAAAATTTATAAATTATTGGTTTACAATCAAACCGTTTTGGCCATTGTCATTTTAATTAGAAGTGTTAATTTGTGTTACATTGATTTTCATGAAATTCTTAGAAAAAATAAATCATATGTGTTAGTATCTGAAATTCGGAATGTGTTGGACTAATCAGATTAAAATTATTATAATTATTATTAATGACTTGTGTTAAGTTGCGGATTTCATACGACATGTACTGATACTATTTCAAAAAGGGTCTTTATTTTTCAAGATATGTACGAGTATGTGTATTCATATATGAAATGTATATGAAAATAAAAAATATTGCTTATAACATTTTAAGTCCACAATCTTTTTTAAATTAAATATTTAATAATAAACTATAATTCAGATATTCTTAATTATTTTTGAAATGGTCAAGAACTAAGAATTAGCATTCACAGAAATACAAATGCATCATAATTGTTACAACTATAGCTTAGTCCCTGTTACTAGTTTAAGAACATTTTCACTTGTATGGCCTTTATTTTTATTAATACTTGGTTTTTCATCACTTTTGTTATTATTGTCATCAATCCTTTCTTTATCACAATTATCATAGCCACAACAGTCACATGCATTACTGTCAGATTCATTTATGTTACTTTCCACACTATTTTCATCGTAACTATGGCTGTGATAAAACTCACTTTCATTGCTAATACTTTCCATGCTTACCCAATCATGCGTATCGTTTTCATCACTATCACTTTCAAAACTGTTTTTATCATATATATCTTTAATATGCTTATGTATTAGAACATCGTCAGAATGTGAACTTTTATCATGAGATACTCCACAATCATTTACTATTTTTGAATATATGTTCTCCAACTCTTCAAAATTATCACTCATTGAATCAATCATTATTTGAACTCTGGCTTTTGGCACACCACACTTCACCAATGTCTTATAAATCTCATATTTTTTATGTTTAACAGAATGACGGTGGAAAAACTGAGCAGAAGGATGAGAAGTTGAACTAGTCACTTGATCAGCTACCGGTACCGTAGAAAGTAAAGGCAAATGGTTGATAGATGAGCTTAATGCTGAAGACGTATAAGCTATAGTTGGTATTGGAGCAGTGTTTGGAAAACATATAACCATTAGAGTTCTATTAGAAGGAGTAAGTAGAGTAGATGCTAGTAATAAGGAAAGAGCCAATATAGTAGTTAAGTACTTCTCCAAACCAATTGTTGAATTTATTTCGAATTTACTGCTATTAAAAGCTGCAAAGGAACTGAATTTTGTTGAACTGAATATTGTTCCCTTGGTAGTAACAGTAGTAGTAACATTTACTTCTAATATTGAAAAAGAGGGAGGGTTAATAGTGTTTAGTACTGAGTTAGTAGTAATAAAAATGATACGAGTATTACCTCTGAATGGTGTGCCTCTTATAGATACTCTTATAGCAGGAACACTTACTAAACGGATAGTAACTAATGCTAAATTCATTGTTGGGTTTGATATGGAAGAGATTATGTTTTTTTGTAATATTACTGCAGTAGTAGGAAAATTATTATTAAGTTCCGAAACTGTAGTAGTCCATACACTTGTCATAAAATGACTAACAAAAGGTGTTGATATCGTTGGAAAAAAAGAAAATGTGGTAGCATATGATGATGAATTATTTGTTTGGTTTAGTGAGGTACGAATTG